AATTTAAGATCAAATAATGAATTATCGTGTATGTTTTATTCAATGAGCTATTCGAATATGTTACTCACAAATTTCAAAGTACGAATAAGATTTTAGGGTGCATCTATATAGATACATGCAATGCATAGTTGGAGTGTGGTCGGGTAAGTCATAAGTGGAACCACTTTAACCACGTATATGTTGGAGGAAAGTTGGGCACGCTTTGACATCATTCTAAAGTCAGCTTTCACGCAATCCTTCTTGGTCTTTTAACCAATATGTATAATCACAACATGAAATATAATCATCAGTAATTGTATACATATATTATTTAAAAATGAGATATTCGTAACATAGTATGATATAGATTACGTGTGGAGGACAACCCGTCGGCAAGCTATTCATTAGGCAGGCCACTTTCGAAGACACGAATAAAAGTGGTTGTCCTTTTTGGTGAACCTACTAGCCCATTTCTCTGCCCCATTGGTTTTTCTCCTCCACCATGCGCCAGTATATAGCAAGATAGATATGCAAAGAGTGTGTTTAGGGATTTGGCTTCATTTTTCAAGATCTTATGTACGCAAATACATGAGGATCGTGTTGGGGGATAATACTGATGATCATGATGATGGTGATGGTGATGGTTATGAATCTTATGATGATGATAAGAGACATTTTTGTTTCAACTAAGTGACTTAAACTCGACAAAGAAAACAACTTTTTCTTTAAGGGCAAAAGAGAAATAACAAAAGGCTATGTAAAGAGTGGAGTCTCCAACACAGATATCATTCTCCTTTGAGTGGATTAACTCCACGCTTAATTAAGAGTGCATATCCATACCACACTCGTGGGTCCCAGTCTAATTCTTCGTTTCTTCAAATATTTTACGATCGATCTTGTGTATTATACGTAATTTATATTATTGTTATTATCATTATTGGCTCACTAATAACTGAGGACTATTATCTTGCGAATGACGATAATTAATATTCGAACTTGTAATTAATATTTGAAAGTCATCCAACAATTAAAATTAACTCTAATCTTTCGCCATAAAAAATCTCCAAACTTATTAGATGAATGGCCTAAATGTGTTACAACTGTAAAATATACACCAAGTTCTTCAGTAGATGATATAAAATTAGTTTTGAGTTTCAAATTACAAAAATGGTCAACTTTAAAAATAGTACATGATATACAATAGTTTGAAAATATAAAACAAGATAGTCTAAGCTTAAACCTTGCTCTAATTTAAAATCATATATCGCAAAAGCTAGGCTTATATACCATAAAATTAGAACATTAAACTTTAATAACTAAATTTTAAATTCTGAATTCCCTAACCCTCCAAAAAGGAAAACTATAACCATAAACCTGAAAATGGTTTTTTTTGGTTAGTGATTAAATATTAAGCTACTTTTAATTGAAACCTTGGTTAGATTTTTTTTCTCTTAATTATAACTTTATAAGTATACAATGTAATGTCAAACATCGTCCAGCGTCCAAGGGGGAACTCACATTTGTAAATGTCTGTGGATCCCACCATAATGGCAGTGGGGGGGGCATTATCGTAAAAAAAGAGTATGCGCGTGTTATTTCATGATGTGTTGCAGTGATGTGTATTTCATATTTGCACAATCCACTTTGGTATCGTGTTTTGCTGCACTCTCTTCACCATCCTCTCTCCGTTCTAATCATATATTAATATAACATTATGGGTTTTTGAATACCAGTAACCAAGAATAAAGAGAGCCTATCTAGTTACATTGTTTTAATTTCTTCAACTGATTTTTTTTTCATGACAGGGATGATTCTTCACTTCTTTTTCTTAATAGTTACGGAGCACACTATTGTGCACCAATGATCATATCATATATTCATATAATATTGGGTTTCTAATATGAATATTACTATTAATAAGCAGTTATTGTGACTGATAACACTATAGATATATAACTGAAGAGAAAAATAAATATTGATTGAAGTAATAAAAAATTATAATTATGATGTCACGATGAGGAAGTGTTGAAAACGTTAAAATGCAAAATATAAGCATGCGGCGGGAATCTGGCAGAAGATTTATGAATTTATTCTGTCGCAGAAGATTTATGAGTTTATTCTGTCGCAATCATTACTCATGCTAACGAGATGGATAATTTCACCCCACAAAAAATATCATTATTCCTTTCATCTAACGAGATGGTATGGAGGTTTTTTTTTTTTGCCTTCGTTTCTATCGTAAGTGGTGAACATTAGGAGGGACCTAACGGGATCGTGTATTCATCTAAATTGTATTCCTCTAAAAGTACTTCCAGTTGCTTTTATAAAAAAATAAAAAAAAATAAAGAAGGTACGTTGCAACCTCTATAAATAGGCCAAGGTTGGCTTCTATATGATATCCCATCACGAAGCCTTATTAGGACTTATCCTCTCTCTAATTCTCACTCTGTATATCTCCTTCTCTCTATCTCATCTCTCACTTTCTGCCTGTTTCTTAACTTTGGATATGGGAGAAGCCGTAGAAATCATGTTCGGAAATGGGTTCCCAGAGATTCACAAAGACACGTCATCCATTCAAACCCTCCACTCCAACCAGCAAGATTGCCATTGGTACGAAGAAACCATCGATGATGATCTCAAGTGGTCTTTTGCCCTCAACAGGTTTTTGTTTGTTTCGTTAGTTTGTCTCAAGTTCGCTTTCTTTTGATCATTATCAATGTTGCTCTTTCTCTTTGTCATTTATCTATATCTCTTATTCTTTTTGCTTTCTTCTCGACAGTGTTCTCCATACAGGAACTAGTGAGTACCAAGAAATTGCACTTTTGGACACCAAACGTTTCGGCAAGGTACATTTTCGTCAATTATTTCTTCAGAAACAACAGTATATTATCCTACGTTCCTTATAGCTTTGATTAATTGGTATAACAAAAAAAAAAAAGTTTTCATAAAAAAATATCTAAGTTTATTTTAAAGTAATGACATGCGTGGTACCGGAGACCATTAATGTGAAGAAATGGTACTTATCCTTAAAACAGGTGCTTGTGATTGACGGGAAAATGCAAAGTGCAGAGAGGGATGAGTTTATCTACCATGAATGTTTGATCCACCCTGCCCTCCTCTTCCACCCTAAGTATGCACCTTATTCTACTTTCCCTTACATATTGTTTCTTGTATACATATTTAAAAGTTATAACTTTAGATCAATTTACAATCCACGCACATAATGTTCACTTGAGTACTAGCAATTATAAATGAACATTTTATAATAAACATAGTTCCGAAATTTATGCGGGATTTGAATTTCGTTATTTACTTAACTTTTGCTCTTTGAATAGCCCCAAGACGGTGTTTATAATGGGGGGAGGTGAAGGCTCTGCTGCAAGAGAAATTCTAAAACACAAGACAATCGAGAAAGTGGTCATGTGTGATATTGATCAGGTTAACCTCTTTTCTCTCTAGCTATGTATATATTATCACTTTTATTAACAGAAGTCTATATATATATATATATATATATATCATACTTTTGCAAAAGAAATACATTCACTCTAACACAAAACTTTTGTTTTTTTGCTTTTTGTAGGAGGTTGTTGATTTTTGCAGGAGGTTTCTGACCGTTAACAGCGAAGCTTTTTGTAGCAAGAAACTTGAACTTGTGATCAAAGATGCAAAGTAAGGGAACTAAAACACAATAAAACAAAGAAAATCACACAAAGAGTTATGACTCTTTAAATTCTATAAGTATAATAATTTTGGATGTGGATAGGGCTGAACTGGAGAAAAGAGAAGAGAAGTTTGATATCATAGTGGGAGATTTAGCTGATCCAGTGGAAGGCGGGCCTTGTTATCAGCTCTACACCAAATCTTTCTACCAAAACATCCTCAAACCCAAGCTTAACCCCAATGGCATTTTTGTGACTCAGGTCTTAATTTTCACCTTTATATTTTTGTTTATAATTTAGGAGAAATATAATAATTTTGATATATCTTTCTTATATTGTTAAACGAAAAAAAAAAAATAGGCTGGGCCAGCAGGAATATTCACTCATAAGGAGGTCTTTACATCAATCTACAACACCATGAAGCAAGTCTTCAAGTGTAAGCAAGCCTCTTTGTGCATGCTTTTCTTGTACAAACATTGTGGCTTCATTTTGATGATTATTTTGTTTTTTGGTATGTAAACAGACGTGAAGGCTTATACAGCACATGTGCCGTCATTTGCGGACACGTGGGGATGGGTCATGGCATCAGACCAAGAGTTTGAGGTTGAAGTTAATGAATTGGATCGAAGAATCGAAGAGAGAGTGAAAGGAGAGTTGATGTATTTAAATGCTCCTTCTTTCCTCTCTGCTGCTACTCTCAACAAAACCATCTCTCTCGCGTAATTTTCATTTTTTTTTCTTCCTCTTATTTTTTAACATGTAAATTATTTAATCAATTCACTTACAAAACTGAATCTAAAATTGGGCAGGCTGGAGAAGGAGACGGAAGTTTATAGCGAGGAGAACGCAAGATTCATTCATGGTCATGGTGTGGCGTACCGGCATACTTGAAGAAGAACCGGGTTCAATTTCTGAATGATACCGTACCCATGCCAAAAAAAAGTTATCCGGTTTTCTTTTCTCCGCATTTAACCGGGCGTTGTCTTGATTACCTTTGCTTGGGTTTTCTTTTCTACATTTCTTGCCTTTTGTTTTCTTGTCCCTCAAGTTATTCCAGTTTAGTTTGGTTAACGAGACTATATTGCTTACTAAGAAGAAATACCCATCTTCATCATCAATGTCTTCACTTATATGCAATTTGTCCACACCAAATCTAGATATTAAATCAGGTCAACTGATAATGTTTAATGGTCTAAACACTCTGTTTTATCTACATTATTAGGCCAGATTGTAATAAACCAACTTGGACGGTAATAGAGTTAACGAGTATGGTTCAAAAAGAAAGGACAAAACTAAATAAATCCATAACGTAAACCGAGTTCTCTGAGTGAGTTTCATTAAACCGAAGCAAAAATCATGTTATAACAAGTACTAGTAACTAGTGGGACTAAATGCAAAAAGGACACAAGGAAAATGATCATTTGTGACCGGTGAGATGAACTGCTTGAGGAAGGAGGGTATAATCAATCTCAAGCTCCTCGAGGATTCGCTTGATAGCGATGACCAGCTCGGTTCTCCTGAGATTCTTCTCTCCGAAGTTTTGGAAGTTCATGGTGTGTTGGACGAGCAGATTCATATTCAGCTTGTTCACATTCTCAATCGCCTTCACCATCAACATAGGTTCTGGATACCAATTTTGTGGGTTCTGCACCAAGTATCTGACCAATACACACACCACAAAATACATCATCAATACACAGTGAGTCAGTGAGTGAGTAAATGATTTAACCTGGTTTTTGGTTTTGATACTTACTCTGCTATTTTCTCCTTGAGGGTGGCGATTTTCGCGGCCGGTGTTGAGAATGCGATGGAGAATTCTACAAAATCTCCCATATCTGGACTTCTATAGTAATTGCTTATTGGTTTCGATACTAAAACCGCATTTGGATAAAACACTTTCTCGTTGTCAATCTTGAGGAACACGGTAGTTAAAAGATGTATCTCTTCAACCAGCAACTTCAAATCAAAAGAGATCAGACCAAATGGATTAGAAAGTTTTAAAATGAGTAGTTGTAAATAGTGAGCAAACAAGTTTCAAAAGTTGTTTACCAGTACACCGTCGATAACGCAACGATCACCGACGTCATAAGGGTGCATCACGAAGACAAACACAAAGGATTCGAAGATATTCTTGCAAGTGCTTCCGATCATGAAAGCAAGACCCACGAATTGTGAGGAGAAGACCACCAATAACTTGGTCGTTGCTATATCCAGAAGTACCAACCAAATTACGAAGGTGATAACGGTAAAGACTCCAGTTAAAAGCTTGTCCACTTGCTTAACCGCTGTTTTTGTGTCGTTCAATGAGTGTCCTAATGCTTTCCGACTTGTATAAACTTTTATCTGTCAAAATTGGAAAAAAAAAAAATTCTTACACACCTCCTTAAAACTAATTTTTAACAACTTTGAAATTTTTTTTTAAACAATATCTCCAAATAGGCATATGCATGGACACAAAATATTTGGATAAGTGTTGAAGAATGTTACCACCCATTCTGTGAAAGCGCCGCGTGTTATTTTTCCAGTCTCGCCACCTTCTATTAATGGGAGTACAAGGTCTACCTCTTCTTTGATCATGAACCTCAGCAAGTCATCTTCCTCTATGTAACTGTTTATAAGCAATTTAAGTTTGTATGATTAAGATTAAAAAAAAAAAAAAACTAGAAGGAAGCAGAGTATATATTGTGTGTTGACTTACCAAGAATTTGGCTGAGCAACATTGTTGAAGATATCATAAGCAGCAGCCACAGCCTCCATATCATTAGTTATCTCTTTATCAGCTCTCTCTTTCCCATGGCTACACTCATCTAAAGTGTTAGATATAGTTGAGAGACCTGAACCTCCCACAGCTTCAATCAAAACCCGCATTGTCCAAGCAGAGACCTTCTCTTGTTTCATCTTGTGAACCTTTCCCATATCAAGCACTTTCTTCCCTCTCACTGTCCCATTCTTGGAGCTGGTGAAACTAAGATGGCCCGTGCTTGGCTCGCGCCCAACTCTCTCAGCCTCTTCTATAAGCGGAGGTCCAGAGAGAGTCTGGAGAACGTATTGGTGGAAGACAGACTCTTGAATTCTCTCAAAGAAGTTTCTGACGTTGAACTTCGAAGCAAGGACTTTCAAGGCAAATGTCTTCACCAGAAAAATGGTTGATCCGATGAGAAGGGAGACGATAGTCCAAGTTATAAAGTCGAGGAATCTCTTGGTCTTACGAGAGCGTATATGGTCATCTTCGAACAGAAATACCCAAGCAATCAGAACAAGGCTGAACCAAATGAAGACCTGAACGTTCTTCTTCAAGCCATGGACAAAGTACAACACTTTTTTCCGTAGGAGATAGTTCCTTTCTATGATGAACACAGCTAAATGCATGAACCAGTTGGTCACGAACATGCCGCTGAGCGTAACCATCACAAGCACGCACCATTTCCAGACTTCCAAACCCCAAATGCGATGGTTTTTCACCTTGTCAACGTTTAAACTCACAACAAAAGTGCACAAGAGGGCCACAAACACTATCAGCTCAAGCAGAGCCAGAGGTCTCATACAACTACGCTTCACCCTGTGTAGCTTAACCTTTTTGTAGATTTCTTCATTTTCATCAGTCTCGTCCTCAGCAACTTTACTCAAGGCTGCTCCTGAGCCAACGCTCCTTTTCGAATTGTTACAAGGGGAAGCTCTGTTGAAAGAGTTCCTTGCAAAAGAAGCAGCACTAAACTGTTCCCTAGGGGTTCCACTATTTTCCTCTGTTATAGTCTTATCGAATCGATAAGACTGTTGCTGCGAGAACCTTGAGTTGGACTTGGAGTAAACTGACCTGGAGATAGATTGTCTCCGAGTTAGACCTTCAGTGATAGGACTTGGAATTTTAGGCGGCTTGTGCACGCTACCAGAGAACTTGTAGATTTCAGGAGGTGGAATGGTTAAAGGCTCTAGTTTCGCAGTCCCAGTATCTGAATTTGGTGAATCCGCTACCTTGGAAGAAGGAGATGATGCTGGATCTTTTGATTCTTCTTTATCTGAAACATTGATAACAACTTCTCCTCCGTTGCTAGTTCTCCTCTCTGCCATCCCTAAGTCACCAATAAGTTTGCGATGCGATTTGACGCCTATGGCTCTCAAAAGGGCCCTGAAGCTGGACTAATTCCTATGAACATAAGAGTAGAAAAATTTACCAACGATTAGATCAGTCACAAACTCTTACACCACTAGACACCCACTATGGACAAAGATTTCATTTTTTCTTAAAAATGACCAAACTTTAAGAATGCGTGGCTAGTTTTTTTTAAAAAGTCTGGAAGCTAAACCTTGAACCCTAAACCATACCCTACAAGGCACATGAACTCTTTATAAAACCCACCATTTATCAAAACTTTTCCAAAACAAATATGCATTCATAAAAATAAATAAAAAATAGTAGAAGAGAGGGAGAGAACAAATTCAAATGTTTAGCTAGCTCTGAGATTTTTACTAATATCAGGTTTTAAAAAGTTATAAACGTCTGATACCAACTCAGCTCTTGAGCCAGGCAGGCGAGCAAATGCAGATCCTAAAAGAGATTCTCTAATCGATGACCACCAGAAAACAAATAAGAACAGTTAAAAATCAGATCGAAGCTACATTTACAAAACAGAGCAGGTAAAAGGAACTCTGTATCCTTTGGTGGACAAAAAAACAAACTTTTAGAAACTTAAAAGGAACCAAAAAGAAAAAAAAGGAAAAAAGAGCAGAAGATCGTACAAGGAAACTGAGAGCCGAAGGAGTGATCTTGAAACTTTAGTCCCTGTTTTGCAAAGTACGAACTCGAATTTAAGTACATTTTATAAACCAAACGAATTCCAAAGTGATACACAAAAAAACAAATCGGCAGAAATTAAATAAAGAGAATCACGTGGGTTTTCAGAGTCGATTCCCATAGAAGTTTATTCTTTCAATGACACAAGTTGATAACTCGAAAAACGTATAATAATTGAATATACATAGTCTTATTTTAGTTATAATTCACATATTTTTCTTATGTCCAGCGAATGGATACATATTTTAGTTTATTTTCTTATATGTAGTATAAAAACCATGATTGAAAACAAACAAAAAGTTGTTGTGCTATCTCCGTCCATATTACGAAACTTAATGAAAAAGAATAGCAAAGGACACAGATAAACCTCATTTAATTATATGATGCAAAAGATGGAGAAGCCACACAGTTTGGTGAAGAATAAAAGGAGGAGAAGGTTGTAAAGACTGCAAACACTACCACTCTACAAAAATTCTTCGATATGGCCTTAACCAGGAAAGTTTGGATGTGTTATTAAGAACAATGCTAGTATGCTACTATGAACACGACCACCAATTTGGACAAGAAAGACTTTTTGTGGCTAGATCCACAGTTTTGTTAAAATTTTATCCTTGGCCAAACTTTCTTTGGATGTTCACGAAATATCCTTAAACACTACTACGAGTATACGACTTGCCTTGGGAAAAAAACAAATTGTGGCTACAGGCTTACGTACAGCTGGTTTTGGAATGGTCATGGATATCACCTTGGCTAATATATCATATCTTAAACTGCCAACGAAAGTCATATATAGTAATAATAACAATTAAAAGTTAAAAAGATGGAGACAACGTCGACAGCTAGAATAGATTCCCGTTTACGATGCTTCTGACTAAAACCTTACTTTATTTGAAGTCCTTGGTTTGATTTGAAATCACTATTTCAATGATAAAATCTAGGTCAGCATTTTGTATTTTGATTTGAATATAAAACGCCTCCTTCCATGACTTTAAACGTGCAGGGCATGGTATGTAGAGTATATATCTTTTATCGGACCAAATAAAATGACTATAAATTGACTCTAGGAAGCTTCTTGATTCATCAAGGCTTAAAAGTTTATAGACTATATCTGAATTTGAATACTCGTTTCATGGATGAAGACTACATGGAAAATTTTGACTTCTCGTTAGCCGTTATAAGTTGTTTTCCTATCGGTTACATGGAAAGCAATTGGTAATGCATGGGTGCAAAAGCAAACATGAAAATGTGTATAAAATTGTGGCAAAAAGAAAGTGTGTAGAAAGCAATCTCGGTCACTCTCTCTTAAGATACTTGATTTCTTTCCAAGAGAGAGTGAGCCTAAGAGAGAAATATATATTACTCACTTGGAAAGAAATCAATAAAATGAACATGAAAACTTATCCTCCTCATCTCGCCTCTTTAATTTTCCTCTTTTCATTTGCGACCAACTGAAGTACTGAACATACAAAAATATATATTACATAAAGGCTCTTTTAAAATGCTTAGACAAATAATCCCACTGTCCCTGAATCAGTGACTAAAATAGTTGTCATTAAATTTTAATAATTTCCACAGACTAAACTTTCTATCTAAGTAAGATTAAAGAAATTGACGGTTTTGTTGCAAATAAACTCCCAAAATTAGGTTATTTTAGTACATATACCCCAGACTTCATTACTATTTTAATTGTTGTTTCTTAAACAAGATTAAAACCGAACCCGAACCAAATATAATCAGCTATCAGCTATATATTATTTCCCCACTAATCAGTTATGCTCAACAAAAAAAAAACAATCTTCAAGGAAATTCTTCCCGGACTCTCTATCTCTAGAGCAAATTAAAACCCATTATGAAGCCCAAATATAAAATTCAGCTTAGCCCGTACCAGTTTATTTCCTAATCGGGTTTAGGGTTTCTGCGTGGCTCAGGCTATACTCTATAGGTGTTTTAAAGCGGCTTGTTCATTCTGCGTCTCTCCTTCTCTGATCTCTCTCTTTCCGCTGCTCTTGGTCTCCCTCCTAGCATCTTAAAGCAGCATCAATGGCGGTTACCTTTTCAGATCTACACACAGAGCAGGGTGTCAAATCCGTGGAGGAGCACCTCGTCGGAAAAACTTACGTCTCAGGGTAAGTTTGTTACTTCCCTTACTTCTGCTGTACGATCGTAACCTTTCGAATCGTTTCTATTCTAAGAGAGCTTTCATTTCGCAGTGATCAATTGTCTGTAGATGATGTGAAGGTATACGCTGCAGTTGTTGAGAAACCCAGCGATGCATTCCCTAATGCTAGCAGGTGGTACGATTGCGTGGCTTCTCACCTTGCTAAAAGGTTCGTCCTTTTGAAATTTTCGATCAGTCTATTCCGATTTGGATTATAATCAAATTTCCAAGAGATTACGAGTTTCAAATTGCTGCAGTTTCCCCGGTAAAGCTCTCGGAGTAAGATTCGGTGGCTCTGCTGCTCCTGCTCCAGCTGCTCAGGCTGAGGTACCTTAACTCGAATGCTTGTTCTGTTTAACGGTGCAAATCATTGTTGTATTGACCAATGGTTTTGATATGAAGATACTTCTAGTCTTTTATTAGTGATCTACGAGCTATGTTTGGTGGAGGAAATGTTTTGTGTGTTTACTTATCTTCCATAAATGGTCAACAGGCACCTGCAGCTGCAGCAGCTGATGATGATGATGACATGGATCTGTTTGGTGACGAGACCGAGGAGGAAAAGAAAGCTGCAGAGGAGAGGGAGGCTGCTAAGAAGGACACCAAGAAGCCCAAAGAGAGTAAGCTTCTACTTGTTATACAACCATGTGCTAGTATTGAAATTTTAGCTTTGGTATACAACCATGTGTCTTTTGCTTTTATGGGGATCAAATTCTTATTCTCTTTTGATTTTCAATTTTTTGTAAGGTGGAAAGTCCTCTGTACTCATGGAAGTAAAGCCATGGGATGATGAGACCGACATGAAGAAACTGGAGGAGGCTGTTCGCAGTGTTGAGATGCCTGGTCTTTTGTGGGGAGCTTGTACGTCAATAATTTCTATCTGTCTATTATACTTGCAAAGATTAAGAGCGTAAGCTTTGAACTTTTTTGTGTAGTACACTTTTCTAATTGAGTCTTTCTTCTGTATGATTGTTGCAGCAAAACTGGTACCAGTTGGTTACGGGATCAAGAAACTAACGATCATGCTCACCATTGTTGATGACCTCGTGTCCCCTGACAACCTCATTGAGGACTACCTCACCTCAGAGCCTAACAACGAGTACATCCAGAGTGTTGACATCGTCGCATTCAACAAGATATAGAGACTTTAAACCTCTCTCCCTACCATAAGATACTTGATTTTCTTTCCAAGTTTTGTTCTTCTGTGCTGTTTGCTGAGATGTTTATTTTCTAGTTGCAAGACTTCTTTCATGTTACAAGAAACATAAACTATCAATGCTTATTATTATTTCCTTTGCATTTGTGTTTACGAAACACCCAAGTACCGTGAAGAATTCTCTATCACTTCAGATATAATTACGTATCCTGCGGCTCCCATCACAAGAGAAAGGGTGAATTTTCCTCCTGGAACAAGTCTCGGAAAAGTTTTTGCTGTTGCTGTTGATGATGAGACTGAGTACCTATCTGACCAAGACATTGCAGCTGGGAGGATTCCGAACAATACAAGAACTACAGAAAGACAAATCATAGTTAGTTTTGTTTAAATGTGTCTTGTTCTTCATTCAGATGTCTCACGAAGAGATGTTTTGTAATTTGTACCTCCATATGTTCCAGCAAAATCCAAGGCTTTGAAGAAAATCTCTGGGTCCAGTAGAGACAAGACAAGCGGTGGAACCAATGTAAGAAGGTAAAGAAGAGGCTTGTTCTGCCTGGTCGGGAGCTTCAATACTTGAAATTTTCAATGCAAAGGTTATACAAGGCAATAGATTTAGAGAAAAAAACACAAAGTTCAGCTATTTGAGTATACTCACAGTCAGAAAAGAAATCAGAGAGGCCTAAGACAAATCCGATATAAGATGTTGAGATTGCGATAAGAGAGAAGGCTTCCACAAAAGGCTGTGTGATAAAAAACAAGACATATTTGAGGTGATTGGTGGGAGTTTATTTAGATAAAAAGCAAGAACAACTAAACTTACACCAACATTGACACTGCTTGATCTCAATTGCTGAAGAGGATCGATCATCTTCTCAGCAGCCACCCCGGTCACTGGAAACGATCCAAGAATTACAGCATTCCACACAAGAAACAAGCCAAGTGGTATGGCAGTGCCTAGAACAATCGCGGTTCTGAAAAAAAGATATTTAGAAAGCTGAGTTAATCTAGACTGATTGAGTGACTTTGACCATCACTATTGCAGGATATGATGTCACCTTACTTTCGGCAAGTCTCCTTCAAGATCTGTGCAGAGAACCGGCACAACATTCTGTAAGAAAAGCAATCAATTAGAGAGTTTCTTCATGATGGGAGTCAAGAAATCAAAGGTTGAATCACGAGATTGATTGACTTACCTGATAAACAAATGAGAGGGCAATAATGGGTATACTCATGGGAACTGCCTCAAAGTTGGCCTTGAGAAGAGCTTCCCAGTGCAAGCCTCCACTCGCAACTGCCTAACAAAATGGTCATTTGATGGTTTGGTTAATCCCTTTCATGTATTCAAAGGAAAGTCTTTTATCGAAAAGTTGTTACCACGAGTGCTGCAAACGATGCAATTAGTCCAAACACAAGAACTCCATTGGTTGCACCGATGAATCGCTGACTACAACCACATGAAGACAGTCATGATTAACTTATCGTTGTCTTCAAACAGTTTCTGATTTCAGCTGTGGAATCATCTAAAATGGAAAGCTAACCTTCCAAAGAAGCAAATGCCTCCGAGAACCAGTGAGAACAGAGTTGCGCTCTCCCATCTACAGAACTTTCTGGGAAATAAGTACAGGAGCCTAACACTGAAGACTGTCAATGTAAAATAAAAGGATCAGTTGGAGTTTCCTACATTGGAATGCCGAGGAAGTTTGTAAGGATGCCTGAAGACCGAGCAATGTAGGCCACGAGAAGGGTGTAATGTATGAGAATATAGGACCAACTACACAAAAGAAAGGCTTGTTTCAAATGTGAATGAAAGTAACACTGAGGGAAACCAAGTTCTCAAATGAGAATGAGAGGATGATTACGAAGCAACTTGAACTCCAACAGATCCAAGTGTCCGCTTTGCCATTGAGACCTGTCCAAAATATCAAGTAAAAGGCTGAGTTTTTATGGCATCATCAAGAACATATAAGAATCTGTTTGAGGGGACATACGAGAGATACGCCTCCAGAGCCTAGTTCAGACATGGTGTTGACATTAACTTCAGCGACCAGCAAACCTGTCACAACCTGAAGCCAGCATATGTTTGTAATTACCAATCAATTACTTGCAAGAAACATAAATAGAGATAAGAAGAAGCATCTGTAATCACCATAAAAGCCCAACAGAGAATGCAGGCGACTGCAGAGGCTAGAAAACCAGATTCTTGTGTCACGGCTGGAATCGCAAGTATCCCTGCACCTACCTAAATCAAGAATGGATAGGAGAATTACAAAGTTGATTCCTTACACCCTTTTTAGCTGGAATCTGGAGAGAGTTATGAGAAAGAAGACTTACGGTAGTGCCTGCAACCAAGAAAATCGCACTGGACAAACTTCCTGAAACGTTCATTTACTCCAAACTTAAGCCAAAATACAATCCAAAATTAAGTTGTCGAATGGAAATAATATTATTAGAGATACAACTTTGTACCGGATTCTCGCTTTAATGTTGATCGATTAAGGTTAGAGAATAGCCTCTCAAATTCGACAACCTTTTCTTCTTCTTCTTCTTCTTCTGTTATTCCTTGTGCTTCTCTGCCTTCATTGGAGAGCCTCTGAGGGAAAAACTTGAATAATCTGGGGGTTTGAGCTCTAAAGAATGGGTTTGATTTGAAACCAAAACGGGATGAGGAATTATTAGAAAATCTTCGGACATGAACAGGCAGAACTCCGTTGAGAACTAAGAGTTTTTGTGAAACAGAAGCGGTGGGCAATCTAAGACAAGTGTAGCTTAGAGAGACAGACATCTCTTTTTCTCTCTGTGTTTATTCTATCTTTGTCTGTGATGTCTGAGCTCAGAGACTGTGATCAGTCTTTTGGTTTTCTTCGAGTCCCAGTTCAAAAGGTTTTGAATAGACTACAGAGCTTAGCTTCCGAGATTAACATGTGTGGCTGTCGATGTATTTGATTATAAAGCATTTATGCTTCAATTTTGCTTTTAATCTTTTAGTTTTTATTTTTGTGTAAACTTTTTCTGATTTTTTTTTTCTTGTATTGTGGGCAAATCTCTTCTACTAATAATAGCAATATTTTTTATTACAATTTTTATTTATTAAGTTAACTTTAACGTTTACACAGATAAATTAATGAGATCAAGCTAATTGGATTTATCAACTGTTTTTTTAGTAACTCTTTCCTAATATGTTTTTTGGGGGGGGGTCAATTCCTAATATATTTTCTTTTGTTTCGTCATTAGTGCATGGTTTTTGAGGTAGAAAAGGAATCTACGTAGGTAATGATTTATTTTCGTTGTATTTTTTTTTGTTAAAATAATTTCCCTATTATTGAATTAAAAAAGAATTGGGGAAGAAAGTCCGTTGCGGCTGATTTGGGTCCAACAAGAACGCGGGTCAGAAACAGAGACCAATTTCTACAAGAAAAAAAAAGATTCAAGGAATTTAATTTTTCCTTTTCTTGTCGTGTTTGATAGAAACATATATTGGTTAAATGTGATTTTATCTTCTAACATACTCCAGAGAGTCCCATAGAGAACGGAACAAAGAGAACAGATTTCAAAATTAGGGTTTATCTTCTCCCCCTTTTTTCCTCTGGCTTTGGGAGTTGGTTCTCTTCCGTCGTTGAAAAAAACATAAGCATGAAGAAGAAGCTCCAAACACGTTTTCCAGCGGTATGACAAATTACTGTTTTTTCTACATACACATGTAAAGTTAGGTTTTGTTGAGTTTTTTTCTTCTATCGTCTTCTTCCTATGGATTCAACGCAACCATGAAGAGTGTCTTGTGAGTGTAGTTAGGTTGACTTTCGCTGTGATTACAAGTTTTCATCTTCTCGGTTCCATGATCTTTGTCTTTTATTAGGAGGTTTTGAATTTTTGTGAATGTGGTCTTGGGATTGGAGGGCTCTTTTGTTTCATGGTTATAGATAAAATAAACTGCAGTCTGCAGATATATCTTATTTAGGACTGAAGATGAGATTTCGATAGATGAAGTTTCTTAGTTTCTTGGATTTTCGTAATTTCTGGAGAAGGTTGAGATGTTCTTGGTGTTGAAAACCTTGGTTTCTACAAGATCTTTCTAACGTAGTTGAACCTCAAATTTTGTTTCAGACAAGGATTAAGAGGATTATGCAAACTGATGAGGATGTGGGGAAAATAGCTATGGCGGTCCCTCTTCTTGTTTGTAAGTGATTTTTTTTTTCTTCTTTTTCATAGAGCTTTTGTCACATGTAGTTTTACGATAACTGAGTTGTTCTTGTTTTGGATGTAAATTTGTAGCTAAAGCTTTGGAGCTATTTTTACAAGACTTATGTAATCACACATATAATGTAACTCTCAGCCGAGGCGCCAAAACAGTCAACTCTGTTCATTTGTAAGTGTGAATCTTATCTTTGGCTTTGCTTATAAAACCATTTCGTTTCTTGATTCTTCAAAGCTTTTTTTTCTTTTTCTTACAGGAAGCAGTGTGTGCAGGCGTTCAATGTCTTTGATTTTCTAAGAGAGATTGTCGATAAAGTTCCCGATTTGGGTGGCTCAGAAGCTGAAGACTGCTCTGCTACCAAAAGAAGGTTAGGCCCAAGATCAACCAATCCACTTCTAATATCCTATGTGAACAACAAAGTGACCAGACTTTGGTAGCGGTTTCATGTCTAACAACTTGCATTTCTTAATTTTCAGGAAAGTTTTCGATGGAAGTATTTGCAACGATGAAGATATGAAGGCCACTCAAATGGTAACAAGCCAAACTTTTTTTGCCAATTATAAGTATTTGCCTTGATGCTTGGTTTTTTACTCAGCCTTTTGTCGCCTTTTTACAGGATGAGGTCAAACATAGTGGCGGTGGCAGAGGAAGACGGGGCAGAGGCCGTGGACGAGGTCGTGGAAGAACTGGAAATGGCCTGTCTTTGGAGTTTGAAGATGATTTAGGAGATGTTTCTCCCGAAAGAAGCAGGAGCATTTCTCCTGAAAACGGGAGCCTTTCTCATGATGATGTATCTTGGAAGAAAGATTTGAAACCCAAGAATGAGTTGAAAGTAAGGAACTTTGATCTGAATGTTGGATTAGATGAGAATGGAGAAGAGACTGATACATCGCTGGAAAGACGGCTAGAGGGAAGAAGACCAGGTTGGCCGTTGTTTGGGATCAAGGAAATGAAAATAGATCATGATCAGGAGGCTAGTGCTAATGAGGAAGATTATGATGAAGAAAGCATAGACGAAGACTGAAGTTTGGGGGTTTGTTTTAAGTTAGGTGAAATGACAAAGTTAAGATAAGAAAATTCAAGGTTAGGCGCTGACACATTCATTATATTGTAGAAGCAAGTGTTGTGTTTAGAAGATTGCTCACATTCACATTATGTAATTTCGTCTTCTGCGTATCCAGCTCTCAGAGCTCATTTATCTCTTACAATCATCCAAGCAAGCTTACACTACTTTACACACCTTAATCAAACTAAAATTATTTGGTATCAGAGAGCTTATATGATTTTAACTTTAACTGCAAATTGCAAACCTGCACTATAATATACTATACTTTACTACAACTATACTTTAATCACTACACTATACTTTTAACTGCAAATTGCAAACCTGAAATCGCATATCTGAGTATGTTCATGCTTCAAGGATTATTTGCGACTGAAAAAGCTTATGTAACAGAGCTTTCGCGGAGGTAAGAGCTAAAATAATAGAATAACAGACAAGTTTTGAGATTTTGCATTTTCGGTTATTGAGTATCAAAGCTGATTGTATAGATCGTAATCCAAAAAAATTAGTTAGGTTGTATTTGGTTTTTTTTCTAAAGACTCTTTTTTTTTTCTCGAACAGTTCATCACTTAACGACAAAAGGAAAAAAAAAATAACATGGATTAGTCTGGCTTTAAATTAAATTTTGATAAACAAAATGCTTAACCGAACAACCGGGTTGATTGGTGTACCGTTCTCAAAATCAAAACCCCAGAAAACGCGAAACCTCTCTCGTCGACTTCCTCTCATCGTCAAATTCAGTTGCAACAATGGATTACCAGGTTGTGATTCTCGCCGGCGGATTCTCCAGTAATCTTGTGCCGTTAGTCTCCAAGGTCTCTCTCTCTCTCTCTCATCAGCAACACAGTTTAGTTTAGGCTATTAGCTAATTTCCCCTTTTTCTTTGTTGCTGTCTAGGAAGTCCCTAAGGCGCTGCTTCCCGTAGCCAATCGTCCGGTGCTATCTTACGTTCTGGATCTGCTCGAGAGTAGTAATCTCAAGGATCTGATCGTCGTACGCCTTATATCTTTCATACGATTTGCTGATTTCTTTTCCGATGTAATAGACTTTGGCGGAAACTTAAGACTTTGGCTTCGCATTGCTGGGTAGGTTGTTGAAGGAGAAGATGCTGCTCTGAAAGTTGGTGGATGGATATCTTCTGCTTGTGTTGATCGTTTACATGTTGAGGTACTTTTCATTAGAAATGGAGGATATTGCTTCATATAGTGCCAATGCCATGCAACTGTTGCTTTACATATAGTATCAAATAAGTGATAGTTATGAACTCTCGCTTTCTGACGTAGCTTTTCTATTCTGGGAGGTTAACTTGTTCTTTAGAGTTTCCGACTTTTAGGCGGATGCAATCACCATTCCATGTATCTAAGCTCAGGCAATCTTTGCCTAAAAGTTATTTACTCATCTATGGCATCTGCATTTAGTCACGTAACAACCTCTATGCATGATTGAAAGAATCTAGTGGCCTTAGAAATTACATTTTCAGTTTGATTAGAGCTATCGTATCTCCAATGGTAAATAGCTTTTCGCATATCTTGCTTGTTCTGAGGTTATGAATTTAACATACTGATAAGTTATTCAGTTTTCTGATTGGTATCTTACTTCAGGTTGCTGCTGTTGCTGAGAATGTTGGAACTGCTGGAGCCCTCAGAGCAATTGCACACCACTTAACTGCCAAAGACATTTTGGTTAGCTACAAGAAAGCCATCTCTTAACTTATGTCTCCTCTTAGCTATTGCTTTGTGTAACGTTTGAGCTTTTAGCTAACTAGTAATTGTCCGGACGCAGATTGTTAGTGGAGACATTGTTTCTGATATTTCTCCTGGTGCTGTTGCCGCCACTCATAGAAGACATGATGCATCAGTAACTGCAATGCTTTGTACTGAACCTGTCAGTGGGCCATCAGAATCTGGGGGCGCTGGTGGAAAAGACAAATCCAAAAAACCTGCATGCTATGATATCATAGGGCTTGATTCCTCTAAACAATTCTTGTTATACATAGCCACAGGTCTTACTTTGAACCTTCTTTTATCTTGTTTCTTAGAGGCAACAAAATGCTTGAACCTTATTTTGGTTTACCTCCCGAAATTGTGATAGGGGCTGAGATTAAGAAAGATACCCGATTAAAAAAGAGCATTCTATGTGCGGCTGGCAAGGTAATGTTCTCTATTTGTGAGTGTTTTAAATGACCTAAAATGCAGTTTGTCTTCTGGCTGTATGATGATTCATTTATAAATAAATCTAAGTTCAGTTTCTTAATACTTTGTCATTTCCAATCTAGATGGAGATTCGATCAGATCTCATGGATTCTCATTTATATGCCTTCAAGAGGTTGGTCAGATCTGCTTTCCAGCTAACAAATTAGTTTACTCTGTCGACACTCAATATGTTCTTTTATCTTGCGTCTTACAGATCAGTCCTGCAGGAAGTTTTGGATCAAAAACCTACATTTCGGAGCCTAAAACAGGATGTACTCCCATATCTTGTTCGTACACAGCTGGTTAGTTGGATAAGGTCCTTGCAAATGAAATTAATGGAGATTATACTTTTTTGTTTTGTTACCATTTTGATCTTTTGTTTGTCCCCTGGAGTATCAGAAATCAGAAGTCTTCTCAGATGAGAAAAGTGTAGAAGAAAATGGAAATGGAAATGGAAAGAATAATATGCAGAGCAACGAGGTGGTTTTGTCTCAAATTCTCTCCAACGCATCTTTGCCAAGCTTTCATCAAGTTTATGAGTCAGGTCTGAATAGCCGAAAAACCCATAAATGCTGTGTTTATATAGCGGATGAAAGTAAGTATTGCGTCCGGTTGAATAGCATTCAAGCCTTCATGGATGTAAATAGAGATGTAAGTTGTTTTCTCAAAAATGTGTTCCACGCATGGATTCCTTCTATAGTAACTTTTTTTCAGCTGAAATATCGAGCTCTGCAATTATTCAAACTTGCGCAGGTTATTGGTGACGCAAACCACCTATCTGGATACTCGTTTTCTGCTCATCACAACATTGTCCACCCATCAGCGGAGCTTGGATCAAAAACCACAGTAAGTCCTCGACACGTGTTGATATTGGGCATTTTCTCTGATAGTCGTGATCGTTAACAACATTTTATGGGTTACAGGTTGGACCTCATTGTATGCTTGGAGAAGGCTCTCAAGTCGGTGATAAATGTAGTGTGAAAAGATCTGTAATTGGGAGACATTGCCGGATAGGCTCCAATGTGAAGGTAACAAATAAGCTTTTACTCACCCCAGCCAAATGAAGGTGGTGTACATCTTGATAATACACTCAAACTGCTTGTATGTACCTGGTGCAGGTTGTTAATTCAGTTGTGATGGACCATGTCACAATTGGAGACGGATGTTCAATACAAGGCTCAGTCATTTGCAGCAACGCACAGCTTCAAGAGCGTGTTGCTCTGAGAGACTGCCAAGTAAGTCGCTCCCTTCGGTTTTCGTATTACACAAATACACAGTGCTTTAATGGATTTCACATTAAAAACATCAATTTTGTTTGTAGGTGGAAGCAGGATATGTAGTTTGTGCAGGGGGTGAGCACAAGGGAGAGACCTTCGCTAGAAAATGATAGCATCTCTTTAGTCATTCGTTTTGGTGAACAGAGCAGTGAGGAGAAGAGTGAGGAGGATTGGAAAGTTCCCCACTAAGGTTTTTGGTGATTAAGAGTTTGAGATTTTTCATTATTATGTTTTGCGATAGAGGATTTGATTTTATGGTATGTACGCTTACAGAAACTCAACTTGATGAAGTCTTGATACTCTTTTTGTTTTTCTCTGAAATTTTGTACCGGAATTTATATCGCGTTGTTCGGCACTTTCCTGTAAGCATAATTGTTTTTCGTAATTTCCCCCATACTGACGATTACACAAAGAAGAAATACATCATTGCAATCCTAATTTCTGTTCTATTGTTTAATTAGTTTAGTAATTAGTTGTTGCTAATGCAAACAAAACTCAAGTTTTCTACTATGTTAAAAATTAGTAATTAATCAAATGGACTCTTCAAAATTTTATTAGAAATTAGGCCAATAAGCCAATGTTTCTTTTCTTTACAACTATGCATGGCCTGCTGCTTCTAAACCTCTCCCTCCTTGGGTGTGCAATATAAAAATAAGTGTGTCCACTGCGTCAGCCTCCGACCTTTACCGCGCCTATCTCATCAACCTTTGAGCTCTTATGCTGTAAAAATTTGATTATAAGGATGGCGAAATATATATATATATATATATAAATATATATTTTTAACGTAACTACTCCTCTTTAACAACAGACATTTCCAAATTCAGCTTCACTAACAAGAAGGAGAAGCATACATCGCCATTTACTACATTACCTTACTCTTTTTGTGCCTTTGAACGTCATCAAGATCTTCATTCCCATTGTGTCTCCTTTTCTGAAAGTTAAGTGATAGCGCACCATGTAAATCCTATAGAATTTATGAATACAGTATATCAAAGATAGACAGCCTAGATCTGCTAAAATTCATGAGCTGAAACCAACAATAGACACAATCAATCACTAAGAACATATACCAGCTCAAATTAATGGAGCAGACAGTCTTCTTACCTTATCGTGGTGTCCACTCTTTTCCTTCTTTTTGTCGCGATCTTTATCTTTATCCTTATCTTTGCTCCTATCTTTATGCTTGTGCTTGTGCTTCTTATGTTCCCTATCTTTCTCCTTGTTCCTGTCCTTGTGTTTTCGATGCTTTCTGTCCCTATCTTTTGACTCACTTTTTGATTTTGACGCAATGGTAAGAGCTCCCTTCTCTGCCTGTAAAAAGAAACAGGAGGTGTCAGATTCTCATCCTAACTCAACTATCATCACAAGATATTTAGATGTAATTCAAGTTATCATGGTTAGTAGAAGATACGTTACATGAGATTAGACAAGCCTCACAGAGTCCCATTTTCTAATTAATTTCAGTATCAACAGAATTAGATGTCTACACTTATGTGAAAGATAGAAAAAGTCAAATCCAGATAGAGAGAGAGAGAGAGAGAGAGAGAGAGAGAGAGAGAGAGAGCAGAATCTCACTGGAGGCAACTCAACAGGAGCTGTATCATTAAGCTCGAAAGCCTCCTTAAGTTCATCTAGAACAAAAGGTTGGATGCGAGCATTTGTATCTCGATAATGTGATGCATTCGGAATAAGCTGATTTAATTGCATTCCATCTCCCTTTCTAATCTCAGTGTCTCCCACCACATTGTGAAGGTAATGAGCATCTGAAAGTGACTCCGGAAGTGATCTCTTGCAAAAGAATTCATGGTGTGGCAGCAACTTGTATTGAGTTATAAGATCTCGTGCACCACCCAATTCTCTTGGACCTGCAGTTAAAAAACCAGTAGCTCATTGGCCAATAAAACAAACTAAACTTGAAAATATGCTAAACGAAGACATCGATAACAGACTGGTTATCTCAACAAAACATGAAAAAGACAAAAAAAAAAACTTGAGAATAACCAAGCTTGAACCAAATTTACCTCCAAACTTGACGCTCTCTGATTCCATATCTTTATTGCAAAACTAATATACCATGATCAACTGCATTTTGTAGCCAAAAAAGAAGAAGCAAATGCTCAAGATACAATCGGATGTAGAGGAACAATCAAAACACAGAAAAGTGAGAAAACATCTTCATATTTAGATTAGACACTGCCTGGACCAGCAAATTGCATAGAATTTAAAGGTCTGAGCATATGCTAATATACGCAAGTGTCTGAGAATGTTTGAATCTAAGCAACTGAAACATGACGGCAAGAACTAAAAAATATCTGGATTGGTATAATTTGCACTAAGGTCTTTTTTTATCTCCTATAATTCCTGAAATCCTCACATTCCGAGCTAAAAAGTGATAGAAATATCTCACGTAGATTAAACCCCTAGAAACAGTGTAGAAGAACCAATTATTTATAGCAATCAAGCTATCTTAACTACATATACTCAACGGGATAGTTTCATCGGAGGATTTGATGAGGATTGGACAAGCCAAAGCTCAACAAGAAATCACAATTCAAGATTTAACGAGTGCGAGAGACAAAAAAAAAACAAAACAAAACAAAACAAAACCGAAGTAAAGATTGATCAATGGCATACACGTTTCACAAGTCAGATCTCATCGCAACTTCCGTAGCGCCCAGATATAGAAAACCCTAAACTGGAAAACTCATACCTCTTGGACTTCGATTTCCCGCGTGAATTTGTTTGGAGGAAAACGAGAAGGATAGATAGCTGTTTCGTCGACAATGGGGGTTTAAAAGAAATCAAGATTTCTTCTTCTTTCTCTTCCGCCCCGAATCCGATGCTTCAGAAAATCGTCTTTGTTATTTAAAGGGTTGCGCGTGGGATTCACGCGCCTCTCAATCTATCGAACATTTGTTCATTTCCTTATTTGGATCTCGGCTCCTAGCTTTATTTAAACAGATTGTATAAAATCTTTCACTGAGTCGACTTAACGGGCCAGTCCACGACAGTTCTCTACGAATAAACTGATTTAACCACATTTGACATCGTTTTATTAAGTTTTTCTGATTTTGGATCGTTACATATACACTCAAATCTATTGTTCAATTAGGTATATAAATGGCTGCATTACGAATTACGATACTTGTTTTTTTTTTGTGTGTCTGTGGTTTACATTTGGTTAACTATATAATTCAGGTTCTTTACTTCTTTTGATTCTGAACGAGTTAAAAACCTGTCCATATTTTTGGTTTTAGGATGCATGCCACAACAATCAAGATCGACGAGAAAGTCTAGTGTGACTTGAATGATATATATATTATATATTCTACTTGCAAATTTGACATATAAACATGGCTCGTAAGTTACAATATTTCTGATTTGACAGAAATTTGATTCATCTTAATTTGCTCTCATATCGTGTAGGCAGAACTCAAAATGCATACACCAACCAGGATATCTCAACAGATGATGAACATAGATTACAGAAACGTTACACTAATGTCTTTACACACCGATACATATTTTTTTTTTGCTACATCACTGACGAGAAAAAAAGATTGCGACTTTGTGGAACAAGGTCCTAATTTGGCCTGATACAACAATTAATGTAGGTCAAGATCCTCTTCTTTTTCTGCATAGTAATTAAATTAGCAATATAAGCGAGATTAGAGGTGTTCTAATATTATGATAGAGACAACATGCTATACCTAATTGTACATTTCTTATGTTATGTATATACTTATCGATCTACGATGGATCAGGTGAGAATGGATGAGATCATTAAGCAATTTATGCTTTCGGTTACTATACAAATGAAGAACCAAACTAGAAATGGAGCTTTCATCTAGAAAATAGTAGTTGCCCCTCTAAAGTTGGAGGCTCCAAGCAAAACCAACTTGTGTATATCTCCCATAAAAAAAAAAACTCCCATTAGAGAAAAAGAAAACATGCAAAAAGAAAAGAATGAATAGAAAACGAAGATTTAGTGACTTGAAAGATTGACATGTTAACTTGTTATGCGAATGAAATTCTAGAAACTATGTTCCAAAAAAAATTTAAATAAATTTTGAAAATGTGGCTCTACTTTTTTTTTTTTTTTTTGAGTTTTTGCGAGTTAGTATATATAATCTTTTAAGAATATAAGAAAAGTATAACTAGAAAATATAAATTTATAATTTATAATTGTATAACACAATAAAGAAATACGATCATCCAAAAGAAATGATATGTTTTAGACTTTTAGATAGTTTAATACAATTTTTAACTTTAAAGTTATTTTATTTAGATTTAGCTAGAAAATTAATGTTATAAATGGCTGCTAGTTGAAAAGTTATGAAAAAACTTAATACTTAAAGCTTTCCAAACAAAATAAACATGAAAGTAGAAAATGGGAAAATAGAAAGATATGAGTCATATGACTTCGATAGTTCGAACAAAGAGCATCCTTCCAAAGCCATGGAAACAAACCGCAACCCAATACTAACACTGAATTTCAAAATGTTGCCCCACTTATTTGTATTGATAGAGGAGACCTAAAGCATATAATGATTAATGTAAATTTTTTTTGTAACTATATATGTTGTAGAGAAATATTATGAGTAGCCTCCCCAAGGATATGCAATTCAACACATAAGTTGAACACTGATCATGGTTCAATTATGTCTATGAGTTGAGAAAGAACTGGAAATGGTAAATTCTTGTATAGACACAGAAACACAAAAATAAAACCAAGGACGCAAAGAGAAATCATCAATCAATTGGTGAATTAATATTGTTGTATACCACCTAGTGATGATCCATGTGCGTTGACTAAGGGGAAAAGGATCATCACAAGGTGATTACTATGTATATGAATTAACCGAAGAATGCATAGAAGAGTACTGAGCAAAAAGAGAGGGAGAGAGAGAGAGAGAGAGGGAGAGAGAGGGAGAGAGAGAGAGAGAGAGAGAGAGAGAGAGAGAGAGAGAGAGAGAGAGAGAGAGAGAGAGAGAGAGAGAGAGAGAGAGATGGTCATACCATGACAGGGTCATCGTCTTGGGTTTCGTGGCGATGGTGAAGTTGGTGGTGGTGGCGACGAGCACTTGCCATGAGTTCTTGTTCGCTTCCCACGCTAGAATGTCTCTCATTATCTTTGCTCAGCTTCCTGTTAGCTCGAGCTTTTGAGAACACAACCGAGTAGTTTGTTGCGTCTGGTCCTTTTTGGTCCCACCCTCCGAACTGTGGTACTGGAGTCCATCCAGTATTCTGTATACATACCCATTTATTAAACCTCGTTAGATATACTTTTAGTTTGCTTAAGGATCAAGCATGCATTAAGAGTGAAAAAAAAAAACAAAAAACAAACGAGATGTTGAGCTTGCATCGGTTAATTTTCCCCATTCTACAAACGCGCATTAACCGATGGAAGCTCAACATATCTGAGAATTCGAAAGTCATGGTAGCTCATGATTTGGATCAAAAAAAAAAAAAAAAAAAAAACAAGATGAGATTAATTAGAGAGACATGCCTCCCTCCTCTTTTCCATAAATAGAAATTGCTTGGTTTAAAAGAAAGAGGTTTTCTTAAACATTGATGAAGGCGTTCATGATGAGGAGGAGGACGATCTCTCTCGCAAAACCCCAATTTTTGCTTTATAGTAAAAATGGTTGGTTTCACGATTCTATTAGGAGCAGATTTAGGTTGTTTCTAAACTTGGGGGAGGGATCTCAAGCAATGGTGTTCCGTTTTATGCGGGAGGTGATCGTTTTTTGTTTTGTTTTTTGCTTATTATTAATATTAACTTTGCATCCTTCTGAAAAAGGCTGTTAGGTCACGAAGACGATACAGAAGTAAAAGATATCGTTATAAAATGGATATTCTGTTTGGTGTAAGTAATTTCAGCCATCTAGCTAATCTCTGCTGGTTTTGCTCATTTGGACTTCCTTGGTTGGTGTATGTTCATGAAGAAACCTGAACCCTCTCGATAGAATCTGAGACAAAATGAAGAATGTAGTATTATACACGCATGAACCTATGACATAGCCAGAATATCTGATATTTTAATCTCTAGAGACTAGATTGAGCTTTTACTTACAAGTTACAAACATCAGATAGGAAAAAGACAGTAGCATCCTTTATGAGCAATCTCCATTCCTCAGACTTCGGTATAGATCCAAGTAACCAGATGATTCTGGTCTGATGAACCTGCATAGACAAAATGGAACATAATATTTTTCAGAAATCCAAGTATCGAAGCATGTAATCTCGACTGCTCATTGGTCTGCTCATAAGCTGAGATTACTGTGCATAGTCCGGAACATGAAAGCCGTTTTTATTTAACTTCTTTATACATATCCCTGATCCAAATCCTCCTATATTGATATAGCATCATAAATCCAAGGCAAGCATGTTTCTTTGAATGTGGAAATTTAGGGAGATAGGAGTTAGTACCCGTGCCGAAACAAGAAGTCAATAATGACGAGGGAACAATTCGCCTTGAAAAAACTAGTCTTTCGAATCACATTAGCAACTTGGGCAACTCGAATCAACTTGAAGCTCTCAACTTCTCCATCTGCAATGTAATTTGCACAACAATGCTATGAAAGAGCATATCTCTCTGAGAAGCAATTCAAGATTAGTGATCGCCTAACCTTGATTTTTGGGAACAAAATCTTCAGGGAGTTCCAAATCATAACAAAACAGCACATCACGTTTGAAACAGTAGTGATCGATATCCATGTACGAAACAGCACCGACCGGTATCGCCCTTCAACAAAACATAAAATGCAACCGGTTTAAAACATCAAGAGAGCTAGACATACTGCTTTGGTAAAGACTGAGGAGGCAAATGTCTTACCTATGAGCAATGACTTTGGAAATTCCAGCTTCCTCTTCGCATTCCTTTACAAGATTCTCACCACAGCTAATCCCGTGAGGCTATGGTTTGTTCCCAGCGGATGATGAAAGGAAACGTGCATTTCGATTCCCTCAAGTGAGAATTATAATCACTAGTATATACTTTCTACATCATGATGAATCATCAGCAGATAACCGTGGACAAGTATAAGACTTGAGAGAAATCTTACCAATCCTCCAGCAACCAGATGATCAAGCATTCCTGGATAAGTGGATTTTGAGAGACTTCTCTTACCTATCCATAGAAACTTTTGTCCATCCCTTTCTACATACCCATTCATGTGAACACCATAACCCTAGTTAAGATAACAAGAGAGCCATGAGAACATTTTGATTAAAACATGTATAAAGCAGAGCTCATAGCATCACTCTGCGTCAGGCACACAGCGCAAAATCAAGAAAAATAACAAAATACGCATCTAAAGGGTGGTGTTCAGGGCTACAAGCTGACACAATTCAGCGCAGTATGGTTTTACCTTCAATCCGAAATAAGGAGCAGCAGCACGCTCTAGCGAAAAATAGACGGGGGCATTGAACGACGGTTTCACAGGATACAGCTGGTAAAAAAGACCAAAGAAAGATCAACAAAATGAAGAAACCTACGATCACAGAACATAAATCAACCATCATTGGAGAAAGTTAATTAGGAGATCAAATCAAAACATCGACCTACATACCTCATTTCGTATTCCTGGAATGATTCCTTTGTCACCCAAGATTTTGATCACATCTGCTACTGCTCTGGTTCTATCTTCAGGCTTTTCAAGCATCAGATTAAGCGTTACATGGCCATCAACACAGTCTGGGGAAGAAGCATTTTGTGAAAACGTAAAGATATCATGAAAGTCCCTCAAGTACTCCGTAAATCTGTTTCCATGTATACAGAGACAAAGCATTAAAATTCAAGAATTTCTGCCAAAACTAGTTTGAGAATGCATAAAAGAAAAACTCCAAATGTACAAACTTTTATTGGTTTAGAAATCACAGAAGCAGCAGAGAAAATAGCTTTACCCCTTATGAATATAACCAACGATTTGTTCCTCTATAACAAATGGAATGAACTCAGCTAACTTTTCCTGGCAAAATGAGAAAACAAAAAAGAGACTTTTTCAAAAGGAAACGAGGAAAAGCTAACATTTTTAATTCCGTTTCAGCTATCTCCTTCGTCAATTTCACTCTCCATAAGAATCAATCATTCGACTGAGTACACTTACGGATCCGCGATTGCAGCGGTCGACTTTCTCGAGAAATCCGGTGAGATCGTCGGAGTTACAAGGCGCATACTCCGCGCGACCGATTTCGACGACGTCGTCCCACGTGAAGGAGGAGGAGCTTATCGGAACAGTCGCAGCAGATAAAGCGCGGGAGATACGCAGCGAGCTCGAACGCCACCGTAGAGTGGGTGCAAGCGAGAAGGAGAATAAGGAAGTGAGAGTGGGACGCAGTGAGCAAAACCCAGATGCCATTTTCGATGGAGGAGGTGGGAATTAAGTAATTAGTGTGGAAGGAGCTTAAATTGTTTATTTTTATATGTTCTAAACAATTCTTGTGATTTGATTTTGAAACACTAATTGTAATTGTCCGTGTGAACTTGACTAACGCGAACGAAATCAAGCGATCAAACCTGTTCAGATGCGCTAATATATACGAAAACATCTATAAATATCTCAAAAGCTTTTATGATTAATTTATGAATAGTTCTTTCAAGGAAATAATTGTTGTAATTATTTGGACAAACAGTAGAAAGAATGATTGTAAATTTTTGTGATTTGTTATTTTGAGAAAGTTTTGAGGCTCTCTCTAGAAACAAATAATAGAGAGATTGGTGAGTCTTGTGACCGACCGTGTGAGACTGTCTTTTGCAATGGGTTATCCGCTGATTCCACGATAGAAAAAAAGATAGCCCCTTTGTTCACTTAGAAAGAAGAGCGAGAAAGAAGAGGGAGACTTTGACTCTTCTCCTTCTTCTTCTTCTTTCTCTCTGTCACTTTATTTCCCTCTTGTTTCCGCCGATTCACCACCCCATTTCAGCATCTCTCTCTATCTCTCTCCGGTGAAGGTCTCAGGTCTGTGTTTCCCTTTCTATTAAAGCATCGTTTTTTTTTCTTTTGATTTTCACCTGATTTCCTTTGCTAGGGTTTACTTATCAGCTCTTCAAATTCTAGGGCTCTTAATTTCGTTTGGTAGATGCCGCATTTTTCTTCTCGATCATTTGTTTTGTCTGTTTCCAGCTTCCCTTCATCAAATTTGATTCTTTTGCTATATGCCTTTGGGATTAGTGAGACTCTTCGTTCCTAAATTTGGAAATTTTTTTTGTTAAAGAGATTATTGATGAAAGTTTTAAGCTTTCTTGATTGGGAAAATGAAACCCGCGCTTGATATGTTCGCTTTTTTGTTTGTTGATAATATCTCAGGACTCTTATCTGATTTGATTATATATGGGAAACTGTTGTGCGAGCCCCGGTTCGGATACGGGGAGTAAAAATGGGAAACCAAAGAACAAAAGCAACCCGTTTTACAGCGAGGCGTACACTACCACAAATAGATCTGGAGCTGGATTCAAGCTCTCTGTTTTGAAAGATCCAACAGGACATGATATATCTCTTATGTATGATCTGGGGCGTGAGGTTGGTCGTGGAGAGTTTGGTATTACATACTTGTGCACAGATATCAAAACGGGCGAGAAGTATGCCTGCAAGTCTATATCTAAGAAGAAGCTTAGAACAGCTGTGGATATAGAGGATGTTAGGAGGGAAGTTGAGATAATGAAGCATATGCCTAAGCACCCGAATATAGTGTCGCTCAAGGATGCCTTTGAGGACGATGATGCAGTGCATATCGTGATGGAGTTGTGTGAAGGAGGTGAGCTGTTTGATCGGATTGTTGCAAGAGGTCATTACACTGAAAGAGCTGCTGCTGCAGTAATGAAGACTATTCTTGAAGTTGTTCAGGTCCGTAGTTTTTTATTTTCTTTCAATTTTCCCTCAAATTTTGTGAATTTTCTAGCTGTTCCATTTTGCCTCTAATTCTATCGCATGGTTCCTTGTTTGTCTTTACGCAGTGGCTTGCCCTTACTGTTTAATGCTTGTAATGACTCTAACTTCTACCTTTATGATTTGAACACCTTTTGGTATTTGCAGATATGCCATAAGAATGGAGTGATGCATCGGGATCTAAAGCCGGAGAACTTTCTCTTTGCTAATAAAAAAGAGACATCACCCCTTAAAGCCATAGATTTTGGGTTATCAGTCTTCTTTAAGCCTGGTATAGATTATATAATATCCATTATATATCTCAGATTTCGTTAGATAGTTTCGTTTTGTTTACTCTACTTAATTTTTCGAATTTGTAACAGGTGAGGGATTCAACGAGATTGTTGGAAGTCCTTATTACATGGCACCAGAGGTACTTAGGCGACATTATGGACCTGAGGTTGATATCTGGAGTGCTGGAGTTATCCTTTATATCCTGCTCTGTGGTGTCCCGCCATTTTGGGCTGGTTTGTTATTATCTATTTTATTGTCTTGATCTCTTTTTTTTTGTTTTTCACAGTATAATTTTCGTATGGATATGCAGCTGATGGGTTTTAGTCTCCATGGATGATTAGAAAGATTTAGTGCAGAACCACTAGTTTCTTCTGTGAATGATTTAGGATCCTGACGTTATCAAATTACATTGTTTACGGATTCACTAGTGATCTCTTTCGAAGTTTTATTTGTTTATCTTCTTCTTTTGTTTGAGTTTCTACTCTTGATATTGTTTCTTGTTTGTAAAGAGACGGAGCAAGGGGTAGCCCAGGCGATCATTAGGTCAGTTATCGACTTCAAGAGGGATCCATGGCCAAGAGTTTCCGACACTGCTAAAGACCTTGTGAGAAAGATGCTCGAACCTGACCCCAAAAAACGGCTTTCTGCTGCAGAAGTACTCGGTAAGTTTTCTATTGGGATCTATTTTCCAAATATATTACTTATGGGACAAATATACTGAGACTTCTATTTGCAGAACATTCTTGGATACAAAATGCAAAGAAGGCTCCAAATGTATCACTCGGCGAGACTGTGAAAGCAAGGCTTAAACAGTTTTCTGTTATGAACAAGCTCAAGAAACGAGCTCTGCGGGTAGTGATTCCGTTCAGCATTGCTGCTGCTTGGTGACCTTATTTCTGTTTGTTTAGTAGACAATTTGATACTTATTCTTACTCCTTCAGGTGATAGCTGAACACTTATCAGTGGAGGAAGTAGCTGGCATAAAGGAAGCGTTTGAGATGATGGACATTAACAAGACGGGGAAGATAAACCTCGAGGAGCTTAAACATGGACTTCATAAACTTGGACAGCAGCAGATACCTGATGCTGATCTACAGATTTTGATGGAAGCTGTAAGAAAAAAATTTCAAAACCTTTGACATCTGTGTTCCTGTTAAATTTCATTGCCTCCACCAAGCAACAGATATTTGAAAGATTTTTGTTTTCTTTGTTTGTTGTGCAGGCTGATGTAGATGGTGACGGGACTTTAAATTATGGCGAATTTGTGGCTGTCTCTGTACATCTTAAGAAGATGGCGAATGACGAACACTTGCATAAGGCTTTTAGTTTCTTTGACCAGAACCAGAGCAATTACATAGAGATTGAGGAGCTGCGGCAGGCTTTAAATGATGAGGATGATACCAGCAGTGAGGAAGTAATTGCAGCCATCATGCAAGATGTTGACACCGACAAGGTAACCCCAAGATATGAGACACTAAGAAATTGAAACATTTAAGATTTGTGCATCCTTAGTTCCAAGTCTTGAATGTTTCTTTGATGGCAAAGATAGTAGTTTGGAGGTAGATAGCAGTCTACAAGTCTTCTCTTGATCGTTTTTTTGATTCTTGGTGATTAGGATGGACGAATAAGCTATGAAGAGTTCGTAGCGATGATGAAAGCTGGGACAGACTGGAGGAAAGCGTCGAGGCAATATTCCCGGGAAAGATTCAACAGTTTAAGCCTCAAGTTAATGAGAGAAGGTTCGTTGCAATTAGAAGGCGAGACCTGAGAAAGCATGGTCTTTCAAAAACAGTAAAGGTTCAATTTCTGTATCTCGTAAAGAAGTAAAAAGAAAAGCAAAAAGCAGTATTCTTTGAGAATTGTCATCCTTTTTTTTTTCCACAATAATTTGTAGATCAAGGTTTTCAAATGTTTTAGTCACTTGAATAGCCAGCCATGTACGATATGAAGATGTGCTTAATATTTTCTGACAATTCATTTTTAATGTTGTCTCGATACTTTTATTTGTTAGCAATATAGCGTGTAAGAATCCTTAGTTTTGTTCATATCTTTCCCGATGATGAAGCCAATTGGATAGAATCTCCTCACAAACTAAAATAAAGCTCACGAGATAACAATAATGGTTGCTTTGACCATTTATAACGTCGACATTTTTCTTTTTGTTATTCGGTCGCTGATTGTAGTATGGAACAATGGTTTTGCCAAAGAAAGGATGACTTGCATGCAAAACAATTCAAAATTAAATGGAAAATTGTCGAATAACTACTTGGTAATTCTCAAAGAGTGATTACATTATTATTTGCTTAGTTTGCCAAAACAGCATTAGGAAAAAGAAGAAGAGTGAAAGTAAATATCTTATGTGGTGGAACAAACAAGAAGATACGAGAACAGACTAATCTCTCCCTGAAAGAACGATGACAAGTTCCAAATATTATAGCTAATCTTGTTTGAATCCATTGGCTCGAATGGTTTCTCAGAAGTGAATGAAACCTTTCTCCTTCAAAGACTCGACGGTCTCCTTGATGCTAACCTTCAAGGGTATGTAGTCTATGCCAAGGCTCCTTGTTTTCTCCTTTGAAACTTCATACGTCGGCACATACGGATTCTCATCCACACACCTGCGCATATGAGACAAAAGCTTTTGAAACCGGACAAGACACGGACCAGTGAAATATATTAAGAGATGTTTACCTTTCAGGGAGTTGGAGATTTGGGTAAAGCTCACGCAGAATATTAACGACCTCAGAGTGGTGAGCCACTCTCTCGACCAAACAATAACGTCCGTTAGCTGAAGAGACCTCAAATGCTTGGATATGCGCATTGGCTACATCCTTCACGTTAACCCATCCGAAACTCGCGTTGGCGAATGTCTTTGCACCTGCACAAAGAAAAGGAAGTCGAAATAGGTTCTCTAACATTTGACCAAAACAGTCTTGAGAATCAGGTAAGAAGTGGATGTTTTTTGTTCTTACCATTTATGAAGTTTAGTATCGCAGCAGCACTGGTGTTCAGAGTTGGCTGTAGGAGAGGACCGATCACCATTGCCGGGTTAATAGTAACAATTGCCAAGCCTTTCTCTTTGGCAAATTTCCAAGCAGCATCTTCCGCTAAGGTCTTGGATAGAACATACCACATCTGAATCCAATAAAAAAGCAGAATTAAGCTTGCGACTAGTTAGATGTTAAGTTTACATTTTTTGGTTTGAAGGGCCAACATTTATAGCACAATGAAGCGACTAGTGAATAGTAGTAGATGACAACAAAAGAAAGTCTGCATTTTTCGAATCTGAAACACACCTTTGAGGCCTTGCAAAGCTCAGGATCGGAGAACCAAGTTTCATCGACGGTTACTTCAGGTGTGCGTGGTTTACCATTGTAACCAACGGCTGCCATGGAGGAGGTAACAACAACCCTTTTCACCGAAGATGCTTTGGTGCACGAATTCAAAACGTTAAGTGTTCCCTTGACGGCAGGATCAATAAGTTCAGCCTGAAAATGGTTATAAGAAGTTAATATCATCACAAATTTTACAAAATGAAATAAAATTTGGAGGGGATAAATTTAAAACCTGAGGATCTTTGACGTCATGATAAAATGGGGAGGCAGTGTGGAAAACTCCTTCACATCCATCAATAGCCGAGTCGAATGATCCTTCTTCCAAAAGGTCTGCTTTGAACAATTGAAGTCTTTCCTTTGCACCTTCCAGCGAAACTAAGTGTTGTGTCTTTTTCGGATCACCTAAGGTAAATCATGAAAGAATCAACGACCAAATTTCAATAAAAGCCAAAACTTTGATTTGAAACAAGCAGAGACAAGGAAATCAAGGGATCATTTTTAAGATAAATTCGGTATCCAAAAATCTAAGATGTAGCTTTGATTGACAAAAACACTGAACAAGAGAGAGAAAAAGAGTTAGACTATTACAATATCAGGATCCAAGCTCACAGCTAACTAGTATAACCCCAAAATCCTAAATTCCAGTCACATAGACTTAATAAAACTGATGAAATAGTTTTTGAACCCTAGAGCAAGAGATTGGGTACGGAACTGGGGTCTCGGACGGATGCCTTAACGGTGTAGCCACGGCTAAGGAGAAGCTTAACGAGCCACGACGCGATGTAACCCGATGCTCCTGTTACACACACCACTTTACCTTCACCACTGTTTGCCATTTCTCTCGATTTGTGTGTCTTGTCTCTTTTTTTTGTCTACCTTTTTGTTTGTCAAAGTAGACGGACCAATGCATATAATATAGTACGAGATTCCCTTTTTGGGTATATATTAATTCTGGTTGATTTCTTTCCCATTTTTAAAGACCAATGCTACTATTTGCCATTTGCGTGGTCAGTCTTCAAATGGTTGGTTGGATTGGACCACACATGTGGGAAATGGAGAGCTGGTTATCAAATTCAATTTGAGTTTAACATAAACTCCTCTTTGCTTTTGACACTGCCTCTTTACACAAAATCCACCGACAATCCAGCCTCCTCACCACAAACATGACCAAGATTTTTTTTCACGTATTCACACCAACATAATCAAAAGGCATACTGATTAAAAAACTTCAAGATTTAATCAACGGTAAATAAAATTATTACAATGGTTGTTGAAGAATTGTATGAGACAACAAAGGTCACAACTTTTTTCTGTTTCTTCTACCATTTCCAACCTCACACCTTATACAGTGGTGTGACGTGGATTCAACACAACAACATTGAAAACTAGTTGTCTGTACAGATGGTACTAAGTAATGGAAGAGGGTGGGATTTTTGTTTTAGAGCGCGATTTACTTACAGAGAAGCGCATCCATCCACACACACACCTCACTTCCTTCCCAACCTAACCAAATGGGCTTCGTGCTTTGCTGCTGAAGCTACTTCCGCTGCTTTGTTAGCAGCTTCCCGCTTCATTGCCCTCTTTGCACGCCTTCCTGTTGTGTTTGTAGTCTTCACCTGCTTTTCTTTAGGCTCACATGAGGATGACCCAGAACTGGTACTGGAGCTAGAACCAGAACCATTGTATTTCTGGACTGGCCTGGCTTCTTGACGCCCGGATCTCACAAAACCATTGTCACCCCATCTCCGATTTCCTAAGCGAAGACTTGACCCATGCAGATAAAACTCGTCAAGGTCATCATCTTCATCCTCGTATTCACAAGGAATGTCAAAATCATCGTGGTAACCATAGCTGTATGATGCATGTTCCACCACATCCAGTGGTATAAACCATGAGGCTCTCAGGAGAAGGCACACACTCTCCTCAAACAAAAAATCTTCAATGCTGCATAGAAATACAACAGAGGATTTAGTGCAAGGCACAGACAATTCCAAACTCTATGGTAATTCCCAATGTGTCAGAGGAATGAGAAAAGAGTTTGATCAAGCAAATGGACTAACATTACGCAATATGAAAGAAAACTCACCTGCCATCAAGAGCACGGTGGACACTGAGAAAATCAAATGGATGCTTACATTGCGGGCATGTAGGACTCTCTTTGTAACTCGCCCAACGAAGTATGCATGTCACACTGTATCGATAGAAATGGGGATACTCCTCTTAAAAACCAAAGGAAAAAGTCGGTTTTGACATAGGCATAGAATCAAAACACAAAACATAAAAAAAAGATCAAGTCTTTACGGGTTAAACCTAAATCCAAGTTGCACAATTACAAGAAGAAAACAAAATTGATCTGAAGAAATCGACATGTTCATGCAACACAGACCATACATGAAACCAACAGATGTAGAAGAATACCAGTAAGTATGTTCACAGCCTTTCACCATAGCAGTTTCTTGAAGAGGAATTTCATTCAAGCATATTGCACAGCAGCCACCATGATTCCCGAAACTGGGCTCATGCATCTCTTCCTGGATCTTCTTTTTGTCCTGAACAAGAGTCAGATCAAACTTTGAGTTACCTCCATATATAGAGAACCCAAGACACCATCTTAAAGAACTATGTTTAGATGTAAGAAAAAGAAACCCAAGTTCGGTAAAATCTGTGAAAAGAAAAGTAGCAAATTCAGCATCGTCCACTTCACATTGAAAAAAAAATTAAAGAACTAAAGCCGTTAACCTGAAGAGCCCAAATAGTCCAATCCGAAAGTAATCACATTTAAGGCACAAAACCACAATTTACAAAACCGTAAATTTCCAGAGCAAACACTAAATACAATTCCACAGAGAAGCAGAAGCATCATCGAAAATTCAAGCGGTGAATAAGGATGGAATTAGCTCCAACACCCATATTTCATCTGGAAACGCGCAAATAGATTAGATTAGGGGTAATAAAAACCTGATCTTGAAGAGCCATATCCTCAATACCGTCGACCACTTGCTGCTCATACACGATCTCGGTAACGGAGCTCATGCCGGCGAAAAGTAAATAGAGAAAATTGAATTTCCAGTGTCTTCAAAAACGGACGATTGGGTAGTAAAGAAGAAAGATCTTCTACGTGAATCTATTGGTGAAGAAGAAGGATCTCGGTAACGGAGCTCATGGTGGGACAGAGGAGCCTCTAATGTGACGAAGGTTACTCGATCGGATTAGATATACAGACAGAGAAAGAGAGAATGGTGGGACAGAGAACCGAAGCGAGTAAAGGAGATGCGACGAGAATGATTCCGATGCCTCCAAGCAAAATAACAAAGCACACGAGAGACAAAACTATACCAAACTTCTTCGTCATCCAGAAGGTTTAACACCTATAGGCTATACCAAAAATTTGCAAACTCAAACGACGTAGTATAATGCATCCATGTAAGGAGATGTTACAAATCAATTGCAGAAAAAAAAAGAGATGCATTCAGTTTTTTTTTTAATGTCAAGTATTCATTCTTGACATCTTCAAATCTTCTAGTGAGTCATTGTTTTGACATACTTTTTGTAATTTTTTTTCTTTCCTTTTTGTGTTTTTATTCTAAAGTTCCACCAATAATATTTGTCATCAACTAGTTAAACATTTGCTTGAGGTCAATAACTTACCCTCTATTAGATTTATATGACCAATAGAAAACGAAAAAAAACATCTTATATATAAAACTTGGCCAACTTTCTCCAGCTGCTTGCCACATCAGCACTGAGAGAACGCCACATGTCTATTTAAAATCTTAATGAAATAAATAATTAATCACATTTAAAGAAAAAGCATTAAAGAACATTAATAAATATTAATATGTATAACAAATATATTTAAATAAATAAATTAAAATTTATTTTAAATATATCAAAACTTATAAATATTATATAATATAAAACTTTTTGAAATACATCATTCCATTTCTTCTTTCCAAGTGATTTAAACTACATTTTCAAACTAAAAGTATAATTAAATTTTTATGAAAGTGAAAAAAATTATCAGACTGATAAGTTAAATTTTTTTAAATAATCTTATATAAAACTCTAACTAATAAAATTATAACACATAATATTCAATAAATGATTAAAAAGATAAAAAAATTATTAAAAAATAATGGTAAAAAAATGGATACATAAAAATGTCATACAAAGTTTTTAGTAATTTTTAAAAATATGTAATCAATAAAATATATATAACCAAAAAAATTCAAAATGGTAAATTTTTCTATGAACTATTACGTTTTTATATATAAATTAAGACAGTAGATCTTTAGTCCTTCATTATAATAGGAGAAAAATTGGATTATTTGGTACAACCGGTGTAGAAGAGATTACAAATAATTTATCATCTAGAAGAAATCGGAAAATATAAATATTTTAAACGAAAAAACATTGATGGTAAAAATAAAATTCAATACAAATTCTAAAAATGTATTAAAACAAGATCTGCGCATATATGCGGGTTTTTTCCTAGTTAATATATGTATACATGAAAGTAATATATTCGCAAATGCTTGCCGAAAAACAAAAATTCGCAAAAGCATTTCACATACTTAGTACAAGTAATTACGCAAAACACACAAATGTTAAAGTGAAAAATGGAGGTAACTTGTTGGCAGTGGACAGTGGTATATCCCGTAATTAGCGATAGTAAAGCAGGATCTCTCTCGAGATTACTGACGGAGTTATATCTAAATTTCAGTATTTCAAGGAAGAAAATAAAAAAAGCAGAAAAATAAAGTTTTCTTTCTCTAGTCAGAATCTGCCTTTTGGTCTCTCTCTCTCTCTCTTTCTTTCTCTCTCGCTCGCTATAAACTCTGCGTAGTAGATCATGCCATGCCTCTAGATTCTCTGCCTTCAAATTCTCTGATTCCTCCCTCACGAGCTTAATCAGCATCCAGAGAACACACATTTGCTTATATATTTCGATTTGAACGGCGGCTGTTTTGTTCATCTACTGTTCGGATCGATTTTTTTTTTGAATCTATTCGAGCTGAAGAAGAAGCTCCTTTGCTTGGAATTAATTTCAAGATCGACGATTCATTGCGATGTGGAGAGGATTTCGTGATTGCACGACGTCTTCTGATTTTTCACATTTCAGCTTGACTAGTGTGAATTTCTTGGAGGTTTCGGTTCAAGGGGTTTGCTTCTAAGGAACTTCGTTGGAAATTTTGTTTATGTCGAGGAACGGACGAATGGCGTCGGATCTTAGTAGAGCCGGTCCAGTTACGAGGGATATTGAGCAGGTCGTTTTTTCTTTTCTTTTTTTCCATTAGCGTTGTTGCTATATAGTCAATCTAGGTCTTGTTTATGATTCCCGTGCTAACATTAGGTTTAGTAGCTCCTGAATTGTTAGGTCTATTGTGGAAGTAGAAATAATTCTGCCTGGCGAATCCTAAGGTAGAGTTGCATTTAAGTGGAGATTATCATTTTGGAAATTAGATTTCAAAGTCTAGGCTGGTGATGACCTTTAGCTAAATACTGAAGTCTAATTCCACTTTTGGAGTCTCCAAGCTAGAGTCAGAGCTATATGATGAAAAAAATGCAGTTCCAGATTTTTATTTCATGATTCTCTTAGCAGTCTACTGAGAGTTGTATCAGGTGCAATTTCTCAGAATATAGTATTCATCATCTCCATCTAAGACTATAATCGTAGCCCTTGTTCTTGTTGGAGGATTGATATTTAAGTGTGTCCACTGCTTCTTCTCTTCGTTATTCACTATGTTTTATTATGTAATTGTTTCTAAGCTGAAATCATCACCCGTTGCCAGTATATTTAACCTACTTTATAAACGGAACGTTCTTTTATCAATTTGGCGCAGGCTATCACTTCCCTTAAAAAAGGAGCTTATTTGCTTAAGTATGGAAGAAGGGGAAAGCCTAAGTTCTGTCCATTTCGCCTTTCGAATGTAAGTCGTGTTGATTGCGCTTCCTTTAAAGTCTACGTAAGAATATCTTGAGTTTCTTAATGAGCCTATAGAGTCATTTTTTTTTGTTATATTTCCTCTTTGTTGCTTGATTTGTGCAGGGTCTACTTGTTCCGTTTCTAAGTATATAGTCTGTCCTGTAACTTTCAGGATGAATCTGTTTTGATATGGTTCTCTGGGAAGGAGGAGAAACATTTGAAGCTGAGCCATGTTTCTAGGATAATATCTGGGCAGCGCACTGTAAGTTTTGAGAATCCGTAGACAATGTCATATAATTCTCCCTTGAGTTGGTAGTATAATGTTCAGAATAAGTTCGTGAGATTAGAACTATCCACTTTTCTTTTTGTTTATTTGGTTGGATCTTTGCCTTCTTTGTGTCTGAGTTCTACCGCCATTTTTGTGGGGCCGATTGTCCTCCTAATGGGATAAAAATTGTTGTTTATGATTGTCCCAAGTGCTGCATGTTACGCACAAGACTCTTCTTATAGTCGTTTTTTCATCAGAAACTCAAATAAAGATTTGGTGCTTACGCTATGCTTGATTGGATTCATCATTTTTTTTTTCATTTCACTTTAGGAGGCAGATCGGTCTTGATTTGACTTCGCATCTTTCATGCATCTTTGCATGAGCCATTTTCCTTAGTCGTAAGATTGCATATTTTGACCTTGCATGTCTAGTGGGATATTCCGATAAGTCTTGCAATGGTGTTTCTCTTGCAGCCCATTTTTCAGAGATATCCACGTCCCGAAAAGGAATATCAATCCTTTTCGCTAATATACAATGAGAGGTCATTGGATTTGGTGAGTTTCTTCTAGGTTTCTCTATGAAACCATTATTCCATGGTTAAAATGTTTGTTAATATTGAAAGTTCATTAATTATGTGTTATAATCTTATTTCATAGATATGCAAGGATAAAGATGAGGCTGAAGTGTGGTTTAGTGGTTTAAAAGCTTTAATCTCTCGTTGTCATCAACGGAGATGGAGGGCCGAATCTAGAAGTGATGGGACGCCATCCGAAGCTAATAGTCCAAGGACATATACCCGGAGAAGCTCCCCTTTACATTCTCCATTTAGCAGCAATGAAAGTTTCCAGAAGGTACAAGAATGGAATATTCCTTTTCATTTTGTGCATCTTAACTAAGGTAAGTTACTGTTACCTTTCAGGATGGCTCTAATCACCACCGTCTTCACAGTCCATATGAGAGCCCGCCTGAGAATGGCATTGACAAGGCATTTTCAGACATGTCATTGTATGCACTTCCTCCAAAAGGATTTTTTTCCTCAGATCCGGCAACTATTTCAGTTCATTCTTTGTCATCTGGAGGCTCTGATGCCATACATGGTCACATGAAAGGTATGGGTATGGATGCTTTTAGAGTTAGTCTGTCAAGTGCTATTAGTTCTTCAAGCCATGGTTCTGGTCATGATGATGGAGATGCGTTGGGAGACGTTTTCATTTGGGGAGAAGGAATAGGCGAAGGTGTTTTGGGTGGTGGAAACCATAGAGTTGGAAGTTCGATTGAGGTCAAAATGGATTCCTTGTTGCCAAAAGCTTTGGAATCTACTATTGTACTTGATGTCCAGAATATTGCTTGTGGTGGACAGCATGCTGTCCTTGTGACAAAACAAGGAGAAAGCTTTTCTTGGGGAGAGGAATCCGAGGGTAGGCTTGGCCATGGTGTAGATTCTAATGTCCAAAATCCAAAGCTTATTGATGCACTCAATAGCACAAATATTGAGCTTGTAGCATGTGGAGAGTACCATAGTTGTGCAGTCTCTCTTTCGGGGGATTTGTATACCTGGGGTAAAGGAGATTTTGGTATTCTGGGACATGGAAACGAAGTCAGTCATTGGGTCCCAAAAAGAGTGAATTTTCTGATGGAAGGGATACACGTATCATCCATCGCTTGTGGACCTTATCACACAGCTGTTGTGACTTCTGCTGGGCAGTTGTTTACTTTTGGTGATGGAACCTTTGGTGTTTTGGGCCATGGAGATAGGAAAAGTGTTTTCGTACCCAGAGAGGTAGACTCCTTGAAAGGTCTTCGCACTGTCCGGGCAGCCTGCGGTGTATGGCACACAGCCGCAGTTGTAGAAGTCATGGTTGGAAGCACGAGCTCTAGTAACTGCTCCTCAGGAAAGCTCTTTACATGGGGTGACGGTGACAAGAGTCGTCTTGGTCACGGTGATAAAGAACCAAAACTTGTGCCTACCTGTGTTGCAGCTCTTGTAGAACCTAATTTTTGTCAAGTTGCGTGTGGACATAGCCTAACAGTTGCACTTACAACATCGGGTCATGTCTATACTATGGGTAGTCCTGTTTATGGTCAGCTTGGAAACCCACATGCAGATGGAAAGGTTCCAGCCCGTGTTGAAGGTAAACTTTACAAGAGTTTTGTCGAAGAGATTGCTTGCGGTGCTTATCATGTTGCGGTTTTAACTTCAAAGACTGAGGTTTACACTTGGGGAAAGGGATCAAATGGTAGGCTAGGCCATGGCGATGCAGATGATAGAAATTCCCCGACATTGGTTGAGTCGCTCAAGGATAAACAGGTGAAAAGTATTGCCTGTGGCTCTAACTTTACCGCAGCTGTCTGCCTTCACAAGTGGGCATCAGGGATGGATCAGTCCATGTGTTCAGGTTGCCGTCAGCCTTTCAATTTCAAGAGAAAACGGCACAACTGCTATAACTGTGGACTTGTGTTTTGCCATTCTTGCAGTAATAAAAAGTCCCTGAAGGCTTGTATGGCACCAAACCCGAACAAACCATATCGAGTGTGTGACAAGTGTTTTAACAAATTGAAGAAGGCCATGGAAACTGATCCATCATCTCATTCTTCTTTGAGTCGAAGAGAAAGTGTCAACCAGGGATCAGATGCAATTGACAGAGACGAAAAGCTGGACTCTAGATCCAACGGACAGCTAGCTAGATTCTCATTATTGGAGCCCATGAGGCAAATGGACAGTCGATCCAAGAAGAATAAGAAATACGAATTTAATAGTAGTCGTGTCTCACCAATACCAAGTGGAGGCTCTCACCGGGGTTCACTAAACATAACCAAGTCTTTTAATCCCACTTTTGGATCATCAAAGAAGTTCTTCTCAGCGTCTGTTCCTGGTTCCCGAATTGCGTCTCGGGCAACTTCACCAATATCAAGGCGTCCTAGCCCACCGCGCTCAACAACGCCAACTCCCACTCTTTCCGGACTAACTACACCGAAAATTGTTGTGGATGATACCAAGAGAACCGATGATAACCTAAGCCAGGAGGTGGTTATGCTAAGATCTCAAGTAAGCTGCTTTCTATAATTCTTCTCGCTTTCCTGTGTTACACTTGTTTTTTGTCAACCTGTGTTACACATAGGAAAAAATATATAGTTGGTGAGATCAAGCTATTTTGTTTTCGATTGTCTAGTTCTGTTTCTGGTTCATAACCGGTTACGTTTTGGATTTCACTCATTAAAGAATAGATCTTTTGTAGATGGACCAAACAAATATCTTTTTATTTACTGCATCACTTGTGTGCCTGGAATTGTATAAGAAAGATTTCCCACCAGTTTTGTTTCGTTGTTGAAAACTATTTATCGTCTCATTCGTTGCAATTTGACTTCTTTTCTAACTGACTAGTAAACGATTTCACAGGTTGAAAATCTTACACGGAAGGCACAGCTTCAAGAAGTTGAACTGGAAAGAACAACCAAACAGCTAAAGGAGGCACTAGCAATTGCTAGCGAAGAAACAGCGAGATGCAAGGCAGCGAAAGAAGTGATTAAATCACTTACCGCTCAAGTAAAATTCCAAAAAATTTCCTCAATGCTGTTTATGTAAATGAAAATGCTGTATGCAACTTACTGATTGTTTCAATGAAAACCATGCAGTTGAAAGACATGGCTGAAAGATTACCTGTTGGATCAGCTCGGACTATCAAGTCTCCTTCTCTTAATTCATTTGGTTCCAGTCTTGATTCGGTGGCTCCTTCTTCTAACACGTTAAACCGTCCAACCAGTCGAGAAACTGATCCTGATGGCCCAAATACTGTCCCAATGTTGTCTAACGGGGCCAGCACACCTGTTTTCGAAGGTGCAAGTTACCGACAGCAAGCGAATCATGCTGCTGAATCGATAAATAGAATCAGCACTCGAGCAAAAGAAAGTGAACCCCGTAACGAAAATGAATGGGTCGAACAAGATGAGCCTGGTGTCTACATCACTCTCACGGCCTTAGCGGGAGGTACAAGGGATCTCAAACGCGTCCGTTTCAGGTACACATCTTCTTTTCATTGTTGAGGCTTAGTTGGAATGTTTGGATTTTTTTTTTTTTTTTTTTTTTTGTTGGTGATGAATTAAACATAACCCGAGGATGATTTTGATGGCAGCCGAAAACGGTTTAGCGAGAAACAAGCAGAAGAGTGGTGGGCAGAGAACAGAGGACGAGTTTACGAACAATACAATGTACGCTTAGCGGTTGACAAATCCAGTGTGGGTGTAGGAAGTGAAGACTTGGCTCATTAAATTCTTTGCCCCACCCCCCAAATAACACACAGTAAACCCAGAGTTTGCCACTCATTTTTTTGGTTTGTTAACACGGGCTTTCATAGGTTTATTGGGGGTTATAACAAAACAATAGAGAGAGAGAGAGAGATTAGAAGTGTTTTCACCATCTTGGTTCATTAATAGTGTGGGTGTTTTCTTCTGTAAATTCTTTTGTAAATTCTATAAGCAAACACTTTCGTTCTGTCTCTATAAATGCTATTATTTGATGTTGAATTTAAAACTTCACTGATGATTTGGAGCAAATTGTAAATCAATGGAGTGTAGTTATAAGAGAAAACAACATATTTCTATCATGATTATGATCGATTATACCATTGGAACTTGGAAGTACATTTAACTTAACACGTCACATTTTGTTTGATAATTGATATACTAGCAACCTTTTTTTGGGTCAACCACTACTAATACGGTTTACAACTTTACATATATGCTATTCAAAGTATATTTGATTTGTTGAAGAGATTTATTTTAGTATCGTAGATACGAGCAACTCACCAAAATCAAACAATTAATGACCAACCAAATAGAATAAGCTTACATAGCTTTTGAAGAATTGAGAAGACTGACTAGTTACACCAACCTCTGCCTACCATAAAAACTTGTTTCTTTTGTTGGTCGACCAATCCTGAAAAAAAGTTTTGAACCATTAAAAAGCATGACATTTTTTGTACATGAAGATTGAACAAATACTCATACACATGGCTTCCTGCTTCCACCCTTCTCCAATGGCTACAAACCACCGCGAAGAAGACTCGATCATACTTTTCTCAGCATCCAACTCTCCCGATGAATTCTCCTCAGCTTCCTCTTCCTTTTCTTCTTCACCACTCCCAACCCCTAACCGCTACTCTTTAACCGTGACTAACCTCTCCTACACCATCCACCATGTCAACATACTCAACTCTGTGTCCTTTGCAGCCGAATCCTCCAAAATCCTGGCCGTGGTTGGACCGAGCGGAACAGGCAAGTCCACACTTCTGAAGATCATTTCAGGAAGAGTGAGCAACAAGGCACTAGATCCTTCTTCAGCAATTTCGATAAACGATGGTAGAATCAGCGACTACAATCAGCTACGCAAGCTGTGCGGGTTTGTTCCACAAGACGATGATCTACTTCCTCTGCTCACTGTGAAAGAGACGTTGATGTATAGCGCCAAATTCAGTTTAAGAGAATCGACGGCGAAAGAAAGAGAAGATAGAGTGGAGAGCTTGTTAAGAGATCTCGGTCTTGTTCTCGTCCAGGACAGCTTCGTCGGAGAAGGAGACGAAGAGGATCGTGGCGTCTCGGGAGGAGAGAGGAAGAGAGTCTCGATAGCCGTTGAGATGATCCGTGACCCACCGATTCTGCTGCTTGACGAACCGACCTCTGGTTTAGATAGCCGAAACTCGCTTCAGGTCGTCGAGCTTTTGTCTTCAATGGCGAAATCAAAGCAGAGAACCGTCGTCTTCTCCATCCATCAACCAAGCTATCGAATCCTTGATTACATCTCCGATTACCTCATTCTCTCCCGCGGATCGGTAATCCACATCGGGAACCTCGAACATCTCGAGGACTCGATTGCGAAGCTAGGATTCCAGATTCCGGAACAGCTTAACCCGATAGAATTCGCCATGGAGATTGTCGAGTCATTGCGAAACTCGAACCACAAAGACTCGTCGCGAGCCGTGGAATCATCATCATCATCATCGATCTGGCGTGAAAACAGCAACGAATACGATGGGATGATGATCAGTACAAAGCAAGAGTTTCGTCTCCTCGACATCGCCGAGATATCATTTCTCTGCTCGAGGTTCTGCAAGATCATCTACAGAACAAAACAGCTATTCCTAGCTCGAACGATGCAAGCGGTGGTGGCCGGATTAGGTCTAGGAAGCGTCTACACAAGACTCGAGCGAGACGAAGAAAGCGTAGCAGAGAGGCTTGGACTATTCGCCTTCAGCTTAAGCTTCCTCCTCTCTTCCACAGTCGAAGCACTTCCCATTTACCTCCGTGAACGACGCGTCCTGATGAAAGAATCGTCTCGAGGATCCTACAGAATCTCATCTTACATGATCGCCAACACAATCGCCTTCGTGCCGTTCCTCTTCGTCGTATCGCTCCTCTTCTCCATCCCAGTCTACTGGATCGTAGGCCTAAACCCGTCGATTCAAGCATTCTCCTTCTTCGTCCTATGCGTCTGGCTAATCATCCTCATGGCCAGTTCTCTCGTGCTCTTCCTCAGCGCCGTCTCACCTGACTTCATCTCCGGAAACTCACTCATCTGCACCGTCCTGGGAGCCTTCTTCCTCTTCTCCGGCTACTTTATTCCAAAGGACAAGATCCCCAAACCGTGGTTGTTCATGTACTACGTCTCGCTTTACCGTTACCCGCTTGAGTCGATGCTGGTGAATGAGTACTGGAGCGTGCGAGAGGTGTGCTTCTCGGGAGGGGACTTGGGGTGTTTGATGACCGGAGAAGATGTGTTGAAGAAGAGAGGGCTTGACAAGGACACGAGGTGGATCAATGTCGGGATAATGCTTGCCTTCTTCGTTTTCTATCGATTCCTCTGCTGGGGGATTCTACTCCGAAAGGCTTCCAAATCAACTCTTTAAACAGTTTCATTGTACTTAACTTTTACCATATATCTACACAGGTTTCACAATAAGTTATTACGGACGATCAATATTCAAGCCACATTAGTTAAGACCACAAACCAGAGTTTAGTAAACTTGGATACTCATTGAAAAAAGAAAAAAAAGAACAAACTTAGTTTGCAAAGCGAAATGGCTTGAGAGAAAATTATTCTCAAGCTCTAGTGACTCCATACTTCGAGATTCATCATCAAGCCTTAGCATCTTCCTTGGATGATTCTTTCGACATAAGAAAGCATATTGACGCCAGATTAAACAAACGATACTGTTTTGAAACACGAGTTCTTTTTATTCAATTCCCAGAGGTTCAAGACAAACGTAGACCAAATGAGAGGAAACCAAAGCAACCCAATAGATAAAGTATAGCTGCACGAGTACACAGCTAGACATTATTCGCAAAAAAGATAAAAAAAGAGGGCAAAACAGCCACCAACTGCTTCAGATATCGAGAGCGAGCCACAAGGTACGTTTCCTTTCTTAATTCATTCATTCATACGGTCTAACATCTCCTCCTCAAGTAGCAATAGAAAGGCACTTTTTTACTCCTATCAATTCCGCAGTAACCATTCATTCTTCACCATATATCTCTTTCACCAACATGAGCTGTGTCCTGAGAATATCATCAATAAGCATTGAATTTGTATTTAAAACAAGGACCTGCAACAGTAGCTTAAGGACAAGGATGAACAAGGACGAACCTGTCAGGTAGGAAGTGCCCCACAAGATGCCAAGGCCACAAAGACTCCAACTAGAGACTTCAACAGAACAAGGCTCGATCGGAGTTAGGTAGCAGAAAACATTTCGTAACACTCACCTGAATCATTCCCAATTACCTAGATCAACACCATAAGAATAAGAGTTCACAAAGCATTCGATATTGCATAAGAGCTTTGTGTCTACTCTTACCGTGTTACTCTTCCATTCCCATCTCACACAAAGTGGCGACTCGGCCAACTGGACTGTCCTTGGTATTGCTCGGGGAGTTGACCAGCTTGATGGTTTTCGTTCACAAAGTTATCTTTCTGAGGATTCTGAAAATACGGAAATTCTGGTCTGACCTGTGATGTTGGAACTTGTTTTCCAGGGAACGGAAAGTTGGCAGGCCCGTTCAGTCCATTGCTGGTACTGGTACCCATGTGTTCTGGTTTCCTAGAAGAAGCGTAATTCAAAGAATTGTTGAGTCCAGTGCCTCGAGACGATCGAGCTTGATATCCATCCAACCAGCTGTAATCATCAACCAGTAGGTTGTTGCCAGGCAGATCCGAAACAGGTGCTGGCTCCTTCAGCAGCTTAGAGGGGACGGAGTTAAACCCAGGCGGAGGGCCAAGATGCCTAGAGGGTCTACTGATTGGATTTTTTCGTGCTAATGAAGATTGGACGCCCAGGCCATCAGCAATAACTCCAGAAGACGAAACAGCATCAATTTGGGGTGGCAAAACAGCTTCAGGTGTTCGTGACTGAGAATATGGCATGCCACCCATACCATTGACATTGAAAGACTGGTGGGTTGGCAATGAGTGTGCAGGGAAATAGGAAACTCCATGATTTCCATGCGTCTCATTCCTCATGACAAGACCATTAGCCATCTGAGCAAAACCAGATAGGCTACCTCCAAGGGAAGCAGATTGTAATTGGCCCGGTGAAACATGTGAAGCCTGTGCTTGAGTTTGTTGAAAGTGCACAACCCGTGATTGCAGTGGTTGAAGTTGTGCGACCTGTGATTGCATTGGCTGAAGTCGTGCAGAAGCTATTGATTGGGCTGGCTGAGGGTGCCCTGCTGGTGTCTGAAGCTGTTGCAAATGCATAGCCTGAGACTGGGTTGACGGCTGAAGAAGTCCCAGAAGGTTAGAACCAACACATGCAGGAACTTGAACACTTGCGTTGCCTCTTGCTTGTAGATAGAGATTTTCATGAAAAGCTGCATCTGAACCACTCAAAGCCTGCAAGTCCCCGATAGTAGCAACTTGATCAGGATTCCTGAAGCCTCCATTAGGAACATATGTTTGTTCAGAAGCCCCTTTGCTCTTCTCAGCAACTAGAGGCTTGAAAACAATTACTTCATCATCATCATCCTCCTCACCCAAATAAATTTGTTGATCTCGTTGCATCACAGGCAAATTATGATTGATCATTGCTTGGTCATCTTGTAAAGCATAATCAACTTCTGGTGGGCTTGAATGAGAATCCAGCAAGTCATCTGACGGTTTTACACCAACAATGAACTTCTTCTTCTTTGAATCAAAATGCACATGATTCTGATCAATTTTGATCACACTGGTCAAAGCTTTCCCTGCTGCTAGGATCCTCTTTATACGAGCTTTCTTTTCCTTGGGACCTTCGGTTCGAAAGGAATGTTTTCTTGAGAAGTCGAGAATAGTCTGAGCTGGAAGCAGTGGCAAGAATCCTCTTATTTCATAGTCTTCCCACAGTGCAAGCCGGTTTTCAGTTTCTCTTTCATCATACAAGCTCATGTTTGAGAAGCAAGTCTCATCTTCGACATCATCAATAAACAACGGCCCAAGCGACAAGATCTTATTGAAGAAAGTAACACACTGGTTCCAAAAACTATTTCTTACAGCAGTCTGTCTATCATCCGGATCACTCCCGAGTGCAATATCAGGACAACAGGCCAACCATTCAACAAAAACTAACACACCAGGCAAGAAGTAACTCGACGAAGGATCACCCAGTTGCGCACACTGCTCTATAACGTGTCCAAGTAATTCAAAACTTGCTGTTACGGAGTTTCTGGCAGGCTCCACACGCTGTACAATTTCTGCATATGACTGACCTTCTGTCTCTTTCTTTGAGTTATGGACGCTAAATATAAGAATTGTCACAAGTCTAACAATGAAAAGTGCGCTGTCACTGGTGTCTATACCAAAACTCGGCTCTTCCATTAAGCTCGAAGAAATCAGCTCTCGTAAACTGCTGCTAGTCGAGGCAAGAACATCAAAGAATGTCTCCAGGCTGACAAAGACAAGTGATAAATATTATATGAGAGACCCGTAACATAATCTAGAACAAACTAATTTCAGAAGAAAAAAATTTACCTTGTTCGGGTGAAAAGAATCCCGTTGAGACGAACAAATCTAATGCAGAATGCTTTGAGAATCTCATTTGCACTAGTTACTTTATCCTTCTCAGGACCAGCTACCAAGTTCGCTTCTTTCGATGAAACATCTCCGCCTTTACCTCTTCCTTTACCAGTCACCCTCCTAGATGAGTCTTTGGAAGCCGCAAACAATTGGGCATAAATCTGACGATTCTGCTCAACCGTACAAAGAGAGAAAGATGCATTATATTTGGTAACTAAGAAAGTGGGAGGATAATCGCTGTTACGCTAAGTCACTAACATAATTATAAAAAAAAACTTGTTAGTTAACCTTTTCAAAAGCAACAATCAAGTTGTCACGGGCAGTTGGAAAAGGACTCTCCACAGCCAAACTCCGGAAATAGCGATATGTTGCTGCAAACTCATCTCCGGAATAAGAAGCAATTATAGCAAGCTGAGACATAAAGTAAATCTAATCAGACAAACTGTACTACATAGCTGTAGCTAACTATAAAATATCATGAGAAAGAAAAAAATAGGAAATAACCTGATGATGAGGGTTTCCACTGGCTGGCAATAGAGAAGCTGCTTGCAAATAGTAACTTGAAGCAGCAGCATACTCACGGTTCTTGGAATCTCCTTCTCCATACAATCCTTTATACCGAGCCAAATCACCAAGGTATATTAAACAACGGTGACAAGATACCAAGCCTTTTTTAACTTCTGCTAACTTCTTTCCATCCTTATCAGCCAAATTTTGACTCTCTTGATCCTCCGAAAAATAACCCAAGGGAAGACCATACTTTGATCTAATTTTTAAGATCAGATCATGGTAAAACCCAGTTGCTTCGGAAAGGAATGTTCTGAACTGGAGCTTGAGTTTTGCAACTCGTTCGGGTCCTTTCTCGGGTCTAGAGGGACCTTTTGCATTCTGCGCCACACTTGAGCTATTAGAAGCCAAAACAGCATTGATGTGCGATCTAAAGTCTTCAATCCGTTTGTAATGCAACTGCCACAGAGTAACTTCAATGCCGTGCTTCTCAGAAAAGGCATGATCTTCAAGAATTATTGCTTCATAATTCTCACGAATTTGCTGCCACAGATTTGGGTCAGACGGATTTCGAGCCTGAGCAGCCTTCCGACGCTTGATTTCTAACTCAACAGTCTGCAAATTACGCATCTATTGTCACTGTAATGTAGAGCCAAATTTTAAAAAGACAAAGGGCTCAAGTGAAGAGACGAAAACATGCAGTAAGAAGAAACCGATATATCCCCTCCAAGACGCATACTCCAAAAACAAGGATAAGCCAAATTCAGAGAGGAATTAAAGTAAAGAGAGAGAACCTTGTCGAATATGGACTGGGCTCGCTCTCTTGGCGAGCTAGCAGTATTTTTATCCATCTGTGAAGCCATCATCCATCAAAAAATTCAAGGTTATTATGTCACATGTAACCTGCAGTAAGAGAAAGGCAGAATCTCAGGCCAGGATCAAAGCCTAAACCTATGCTTGTGTTTCATAGCTAAACAAGAAATCCATACTCTTACTATAAGGAGCTTAAACAAAATCAATCATCAAGAGTGCTTTGCAGCTGTATACTAAAGCAGACAGACTAAGAGGAACATATTGCTACATTCATGCTTCTAATCAAAATTAAGACCAGAGTAGATATGAAGCCACAATCTGTTTAAAAGTCAAACCTTGAATATGAATCAAGACCCTTGAAAGAAAACAAACGATTGTTCCAGTGATCAGCCGTGGATATTAACATAAAAAAAAAATCCGATTTTAAGAGACTAAAAATCTTCAGAAATATATAATAGAAATAATCACGAAGACCCTAAAGGTCCTTCTCTCTGAAATTTTTTGCTGCCCATAATCATGAGTAAAATCGGAAAACGAGAAGCGAAATCAAGCAGAATCAGCATCAAATCAGAAAGGGGGAAAAACCCTCATCCCAAGATTTTATTAAAAACAAAAAAAAAAACAACGAAGGAAGAAGAAAACGACATAAGTAAAGAGAATTATTGAAATAGGATCAAAAAGGGAAGAAACATAACCTGAATAACCAGATCTGCGAATGGCTATGCGACCAGGAGCATCGGAAGGAAAAATCGGTGAGAGGAGAGAGAAACTAGGGTTTTTTTCGACAGAGGAAGAGAAAGAAAAAAAAATATATTGAGACGGTGAAAGGTGTACAAGGTCGACTTTTCCTTAATATAAGAGAGAGAAAAATAGAGAACGAGGGAAAAAAAAAAGGATTGTCCAAGTGTTTTCTTTCCCTCGCTTTGGGCTTTGAACGTCGTCGTTCTTTAGTCTTTTCTTTTCTCCTATGAATGAATATCCGGAATTCTTTTTTGCATTATTTTTCACATCAAATATTTCTTTTGTTTTATTTCTTGCTTTTCTTTCTTCTCAACCAAGAATCCAAACTGAAGTTTCAAAACCCTAGGTAAGAAACAATATAATTCGGACATTGCTATAAACACACTAATAAACCAGTCAAAATATGATGTACTATAGTATAACAAAATAATAAACGTAATAGATTTTGAAAATGTTAAAACCAACTAAATTTGAATAAAATAGATGAAACCAACAACCTAAATGAACAAAGTCTTTTGTCTTTTAAATTACTTTAACTCGTCCAAAATCATCTTAGTAGTTGTATCGTAGTTTTGTAGCTTTACAAGTCTTCCAACAACACTCTCATCGCCTATACGAATACAAAAGTGTGCAGGCAGTTCCAGATTTAGCGGTTATATAATCATGTTAGTACATTATTGAATACGACTGGAGAATCAAAGACTTTAAGTTTGCATACAGAGACCTTCTTTTTTTGACGTCCCATAAAGAGACTACTAACATAATAAGTCGGCTTTAGAGTTAATTCTTATCTTATAAACATAACCAATCACATTACAACAAAAAAAAAAAGAATTATGTATTACAAAAAACAAAAAAAATCTTTATATATATATACACACAAGACTGTTGCCCAAAAGAATGAAGTGATTCTTGTCTTCTCGGGAGAAAACGAGCAGAGTACATGCTAACATCATTAATCAACCACCAAAAGGATATACAGAATAAACAGAGCCTTTTTTATTTTTATTTTCTCATATAGTTAGTTCCAAGGTGGAGAAGAAGGCCGGTGTATGAAATCTTGAGAAGACGAGCCATAGTTAAGGTCGAGGTTATGGAGCTGCTCCATGAGCTGCGACCGTCTTTCTTTGAAGAAATCAAGACGAGTTGTTAGCTCTACCAGAGCTGCTGATGCAGCGGCTGAAGGATGATTTAGCCTTGGGTACTCTGTTATCTGCAAAACCGTCAATTTCAAGCATGTTACTATGCATTGTCATGACTAAAAGATGTTTATTCAGAGCGGTCAGCTGTGATTTGCTAGGCAGAGAAGCGATCATGCATGTCTCTGTAGTTACCAATGTTTACATCTAACTCTTTTGAGGAACTAATGAACAAACTAGATAAGACCAATCGCACACTATATGCAACCCAAAAGAAAAATTATCTTCCTTAAGTCTCAATCCTTCCAACCACGTTCGTTTTGAGGTTTATAGGAAATTCGTAGTAAGTGAATATAATCGTAAGGACCAAAATGTCTTACATCTAATGCTCTTGAAGTCGAGGGAACAGACGGAGAATCCATGGCTGAGAAGTTGTCCACAGACATCTTTCCAGACTCTTCACTGTTTTTAGAGTCAATCACGTTTGTTGACTCTGGTATTTGCTTACGAGATGATTGCCTGCTATTGCCAACACCAAAAGACCCTGCTCCTTTACTATTTCTCCACTCCACTCCCATCATATTCTCCTGGAGGTCAAACAGTAGTAAATTCTATTGGTTTAAACTTTAATCTTAGCTATGAAAGACGATGATCGACGACGGAAACATCAGTAAAAAGTACCTCATGTCTTTGTTTTCTTTCATGATTTACATAGGCAAGAGTGGAATCAAAATCTTGCTGAAGAAACCTTCTGTAGAAATACATAACATGGAATTAGAGCAGAAACATAGATGTAAATTAATCATATTACAGTACATATAAGATATGCCGTGCAAAAGTTACTTCCAACATAATCTTATCAGCTGTACTGAGTTTAAAGATTAACAGTGGATAAGTTAATCTGAGATATTTGTTAAACACATCTTCACTAAAGTCAAGAAACACGCCACAAAATGCAATTGAAAGATAAAAGCTTTACAGTATCAAGGATAAGTCATCACAAAAAAATATAACATGGATTATGAGCTCTTCTGTAGGAAAGTAGAGGGATAGTTATGCAACTCACTTTTGAGGATTGTGATTCTGGAGATACTGATGATTATCACGCGCGTCTGAGAAGGAACCAAAGTTAGTCTGACGTTGCTGGTTAAGCTGATGGTGAAGTTCTGCAACTTTCTGCTTCAGCCTGGCCACATCAGCCTCAGCAAGAGCAATTTCCTCAAGCTCCGCCCTTGTCTTCAAATATTCTGAGATCGTAAGTATTTCACAAGAACTAATTGTTTAAAAGAAAATACCATATTTCTAAAATGTATACTTACTTTCGAATCCACACCATGTGAGCTAAATTGTCCAGAAGACATGCTCAAACCAACCTCTAGTGCTGCTCGGAGATCTCTTTCGGCTTGCAACTGCTCTTGTAATCTCGACACCTATATAAGTATTCCCCACCAAACCAAAAGAAGATTCCTTTGACATTAGGCTTAAATTAAAGATTTATAAACACTGATAGTTTGAAAGAAAAATTGTATACATCTTGTTCAAGCGACAAACGACGTTCATGCAGTGCCTGCTTCCTTCTCTCCAAGCTAGCCTGTAATATCGCATTACCTCTGGCCTATAACAATAATGGTGACCCGTGTTAATGACTTTATGAAGTCAGAAAATAAAATTTTCAGCAGCGGATGATTACCTCCTTTGCAATTCGTTGTCGCAGTTCATTTTTAGTGGTCTCGAGCCTCTGTATAGCAAGCCTACAAACAATTGATGAACCATTTATTAGTACAAAAACACCAAGCTATTGTAATCTCAATTGTCAATCGAATCAAGCCTATGCCAAAGAGATAAGTAGTAGATTACAATATTTGCATAGATCAACATAGAAAGTACGTATATACATGTATTACGTATATTCATTAAGCAATGTTTTTTTTAGTAAGTTGTTGAGACATCAGCCGCGTCATTCTATGTCCACTAAACTAAAAGGATTCTTAGATAAAGTACAGCGTTAAAAATGAATCCTGTAAGTATTTCAAGCAAAGGAAAAATTCAAACTTGAAAACATGTGGAAAGATAATTACAGTCATAATTTTGGCAGAGATATTTTCGATATATACACATATGGAGATAGAGAATACACCCAAGATTGAAAGCCTTACTCATCTTCTCCTGAAGAATCAAACGATCCATCTGTGGATATCTTTCTGGCCTGTGACAAACAAAGAGCAACGAAAATGTTATTAATTCCACCCGACATTGGTTTATTATCACTATATAATTCTGCTCAGGCATGACACTTGATAACAAATTGGAGGAAAATAGTTTTGTATCATGCATCCAAATTTACTTGAACTAATGTATCAAATCTGAGACATGTACAGAATCAGAACTATTTGATCATGATAAGCAAACACATACACTGCCTCGACCCCAGAATGTTGCGCGCTTTGCATGAACAGAGGACGGCGTGCCCTTATTCACGGGTTTCTCACTTGATGATTCAAGACCAGGAGCAGCCAAAGTATTTCCATGAGTGAGTACATTTAGAACCTTCCCTGATTGATAAGACTCACCAACATTTACGAGAGATGAGTTTTCTCCATATTTGGTTCGATCATCACTTATCTGCTCTCCAGCTTGTTGATCCGTGGAGTTGACAAAAGGATTTGTCACAAGATGATCTGTTCGTACGTTTGAATTACGTGTTGGACCACTTCTCTCTCTCGGTGATTCGATATCAGAGTCATCAGCAACAAATCCCTAGAAAGAATGCATTCAGCGATCATGAAATAATTATTTTTTCTACCAAAGCTAATTCTAATTCATTAAAAATAGCAGAGATAGGATACATATATAATAGCTGAAAGCTTTTAAACATATTCTATATTCATGAACAATACTTCATATGTTCAAAGGCATTTCGTTATATCACCAACACTATACAAATAAATGTTTCATGTAAACTTGGCATGGATGCATGAGTATATTGAAGGAAAAATAACCTTGTATTCATAGAGATCGCTGCCTGTGCATCCGCTGCTCTCACTCATTTTTCCACTCAATGCACGCTCATTATCATCATCTGTCACTGGTTCAACTTCTTTCTCTGCATGATCGTATTCATTTTTCGGGTTGTTGTCATCATCACTAGAATCATCAGGCCCACTATTTCCAATATGTGATTCGGTCGAAATGGAACATCTTTGAATATTTTCTTCCTGAAAATTGTAGAGAAGCATATAAGGCATACAACATCAAATAAATTTGAATGAAACTATCTGAGTCCGTCTTACATCGAAAATACTTCCATAATCCTCCAGGAGAATAGTAATGATGGCTTGAGCATTATTGGCAGCATTAGCAGCAGCGAGAAGCTGAGCAGAATTGTCTTCACCGCTATCAAATTCGTCCTCTAGATCACATTCACCAGCCAATAGAGGACGTAAGAGCAGGGGAGCCATGCAAGCAGCTACAGCAGATGGGTTCATTCGATTTTCGTGGGAATGAGACGAGATAGTATGCATCATTTTCAGAATCCTGAGGGTACAACGCAGATATGTAAGAGTTCGAGACAACAACTTATAAATGATTCTCAAGGACTCTTACTCATAAAAGTTACAAGGCATTCATCTGTCCGATAGACTCAGAATTGGCAAGAAACAAGTAATCTCAACTATAACATCTAATATATTAGCTATTAGCACAAAACAAGCCAGAAGGGAGATCTGGAAACATACCGTTGTAATAGACGTCTATTAGGTTCAGGAAATGTTTCCGCCATAGCAGAGCGCAAGGAACTAATGCGAGCCTCTTTAGACTCTATTCCTGATTCAGAAAACCAATTAAGAGGACGTCAACTTCACATAAGTTCAGTCAGATCTCCATAAATTCTTTAACAGAAGACTCATGCAAATTAATAAATTTTCCATATACACACAAAGACACA